ATCTTCATCATCGTTTTTTAAACAATTTGAATCAAAAAAAAAAAAAAAAGAAAAATTAATCTTAATTTTTTTATATTTATATATATATTTTCCGTTTAATTAAATAAATAAATGATAATAATAATAATAACAAACAACAGCAGTTACGAAAACAACAACAATTATAATAATAATAATTTAATACCGATAAAATAATAATAATAATATTAATAAAAACGATTAAAAAAAACACTTTTTAATTTTTTAATTTTAAAATGGCGGAAGTTAGTTTTTATGTTTTCAAAACGAAAAAAGAAAAAAAAAATTTGGCAAGTTTTTCGATTTAATTATTATTATTATTATTATTAAATATGTTTGTGATTAAGTTTTCAAACATTCGCATTGCGAAATTTTTTCATCCAACAAAATATTGTCGCCATTTTAACGAAATTTTTTGTCGCCATTTTTGGTTGGAAACGGAAAAATGAATTAATTTCATTCATTTACGGAATGCGATTTTTTCTCTCTCTTTCTCTCTTTTTCTTTTCTCCTTTACGAAAGCGTTTTTTTTCCTTTTTGCTCTTTCTTAATTTTGATTTGCCCCCCCCCCCCATCTTCTTCCTTTGCTGCAAACGTTTCGTCCAACACGAAAAACAACAAAAAAAAACAATCGGACGTTTTTATGGTGGATCCAAGTGCGTTCGTGCGTGGGCGGAAGTCATTAATTAATTTTTTTTTTTATTTTTTTTTTAAATTCCACTTTTTGACGTTTTGTGTTTTGTGTGCGTGTGCGTGTGTATGCGTGGGTGTTGATTTTTAAGCAAGTTCCGTGTTTTTATATTTTGGGTTTGTTTCCGGTTTGTTTAAAAGTTAAAAAAATTGTTTTTAATTTTAATTGACGTTTGTTTATTTTTTCCCGGTGAAAAATTTAATTACGTCACTGTTTTCTTTTGTTTCTCTTTTCCCTTATTCGCTTACTTGATTATCATTATCATCGTCATCGTCATCATCATCATCATCATCATTTATTTTCTATCGATTCGATTCGATTATTAATAAATGAATTCGAATCATTTGAAATTTTTTTTTTTTTTTCTAATTTAGTCGTCAAGTTTAATGAAGTTTTATTATGTCAATTTTCTTTTCTTCCCCTCCCCTCTTCATTCACCTCTCCCTCCCCTTTCTTCCCATTTTTTTTTTGCTGTCGTCTTCCTTGTCGTCATTCTTGTCGTGTTTGGAAAAATGTTGACGATTTAATTACGAATGAGTTTGTTTGTATTATTAAATTTAATTATTATTATTAATAATAATAATTGAATTTTTTTTCTCTCTCTGTTGTCTTGATTATGAAAGACACGCGGGAAAATTCGTTTGTGCGTGGGAGTGAGTGCGGGGGGTGCGCGTGTCGTAAATTGATTAACGGTCGTTTTTTTTTTTTTTAAATGGAATTTAATGCGATACACGTCTTCACGTGAAATAATTTCGTTCTAAATATTTTACGATTAAATAGAATCAAGTTTAAATGTTAGAATGTATTTTTATAGTTGTTTGTTTGTTTGTTTGTATAAAAGACATAAATTCAAATTTTTATATATATATATGCTCTCGTTCGTATATTGAATACGCATACGAAAATGCATTTATAAATTTTTATTTTATTTTATTTTATTTTACGTGAAAAAGTTTTCCGCCTTTTCTCTCTTTCTCTCTCTCCTCCCCCTCTCCTTCTCTTTTTGTTATGCTTCTTTATAATAAAAGCATCGTAATAATTTTATTTTTTGTATTATTATTATTATTATCTTTTGCGACAAAAAAAAAAAGTTTTCGAGATTCAATTTTTTTTTGTACTTTTTACAAACGTGGAAGTAGAAAAACTTGTTTGTTGTTGTTTTATTATTTTAATATCAAAGAAAGAGAGAGAAAGAGAGAGAGAGAAAAGAATAAAGAGATGAATGATAATAATAATTACCAAAATCTAAAATTTTTGCGAATTTCTTTACATGCAACGTTTCATTCACGCGTATATACTTGCGCGCCACCTTCCCCCCTCCCCGCGAAACACGTATGCATGTTTTCTGTTAAATTTTCAATTATTTCACAACCAGAAGGTAAAAAAAAAAAAAAAAAAAAAAAAACGGTCGTGCGTTTAGAAAGAAAATTTTCAAAGGAAAAAAAAAAAAAGGAGTGGATATAGAAGATGGAAAAACAAACAGGTACGGGAAAAAGAAAAAAAAAAAAAAGGAAATGACAACGTATGGTAATGATGATGATGATTATGAGTCAGTCCTCTTTTTGTACTTGTAAACATTTTTTTTCCTTCTTCTCCTCCTCCTTCTCTTCTTCCTTCCTTAACAATCTTTTTTTTTTAAATAAAAATGTTTCTTTTGTTTGAAAAAAAAGAAAAGTGCTCATTTTGCCTTTAGGAATAAAAAAAAAAAAAAAAAAAAAAAAAAAAAAACATTTGTGATGAATATTTCAGGTACGCCATATTTTTTCTTTTTTTCTTTTTGTTTTTGTTTTTTGTTTTTTTTTTATTGGGTTGTTTTAGGAACGGCATCAAATTTATCGTCTGTCTTCCAGTTTATCGAATATTTCACACGTAAGTCGGATGGAAAAATTTTTGAAAAAAAAAAAAGAACGATTGAAAAACAAAAAAATTAATTAATAGAGATAATGATAATACAAGGAATTGAATATAACTGGTTTTAAAAAAAATGGCGACCGTCAATTAAAATTATTCGCTTGAAAAATTTTTTTTGGTATAAATTTCAAATTTTATTAGGAACAGGTACACAGGAAGAAAATATTATTAATATTGTCATTTGTTTTTTTTTGCGTTTTATTATTATTATTATGATTATTATTATTATTATTATTATTATTATTATTATTATTATTATTATTATTATTATTATTATTATTATTATTGTCATCGCAAAGAATTTCTCGAATTTTCTTTAATCAGCTAATGATTTAATTCTACCGACGGTTAGTTTATTCTTTTTTAAATAATTACACCGAATGCACGTAATCGATTGTCATAGAGAAAATAAACGGGAGAATGGATTTGAAAATTTTCGCGCGCGTTTTTTTACGTTCGTCTCGGATTCAGAGTGCGGCGTTTCGAATCCCGTAAAATAAAAAGAAAATTCGAGACCGTTGGGAAAATTTTTTCTTTTCCCCTTACACGTCAAAAAATTTTTTTGCGCCAAAATTTAAATTTAAATTTTTCAATTATTTAATTTGTTTTTATTTTGTAAGGTAGTCGTTTTTTTCGTTTTGCATAATGAAAAAAAAAAAATTTATAAATAAATATACATCACGTTGTTAAATTGGTCGTTTGGTTTAAAAAAAAAAAAAAAAACGAGAGAATTTCGTTTGTTCGTTTGTTTGTTTGTTCGTTCGTTTGTTTCATGCGAAACTTCTTGTTCGCATGATTTGTCACTCGTTTTCCATTTATAATGATTTGTTTCTTACGTCCTGAAGTTGACACGTCGTAATTAGGGCTTTTGTTTCCCTTGTTTGTAATTTAAAAATTGTTTTTTTTTTTTCTTTTTTTCTCCCTCCTCCGTGTTGACATTTATTTATTTTTATTATTAGCATTATTATTATTATTGTTGTTGTTGTTAATAACGTTGTCGTTGGTTTTACGTAGACACCGAAAAAACAACTTTGGTTAAAATTGAATTTATTTCTTCATTTAAATATTTTTTGTTCGAAACAATTTTTTTTTGGATTTAATTTTTTGTTTTTATTGTCGTCTGCTTTTTTTCTCTAAATTTTTTCTACCGTTTGGGAAATTTTTAACGAAAGAAAAAAAATAAAGAAGGAGGGAAAACATTTAAAAAAATTATAAAATTCTGTTTGTTACGCACGTTTAAAAATTGTAATTTGATGGAAAAGGAAAGATTTGATGAGAATGATGCGTGACATCGCCAATGGTGGATCATTTCAAAAAAAAAATGGCGGGAAAAAGATGATAAATCAAAAAAAAAAAAAAAAAAAAATTTAGATAAAATTGACGTGGAAGGATCAATCGATTTGTGTGTGTCATCAGTTATTTGTAATAGTATTATTGAAAATCACCGAGAGAAATTAAAATTAAAATTTTCCATAGAAAAAATGTTCCCTAGGAAAAGTTTTCAGCTTTAAATTTTGGCGCAAAAAAAATTTCCCTTCTTCTTCGGTTTTTTATTTCCGTCCCCGTTTAAAAAAAAAAAAACAAAATTTTTGTAAACGCATTCATTTTTTTCCCCTCCCTTTTTCTTCTTTCTATTTTTCTTTTTCCACCCCCCCCCTTTCGGACATTATTTTTGGAACATGCGCAAGAAGAAAAAGATTAATAAAAGAAAAGAAAAAGCAAAAGAAAAAAAGAAAGAAATTAATAATTGTTTCCGAATTCCAGAGATTTTAATTGAAACCCTTTCGGTTGAAAATTTTTATTAATAAAAAGAATTGAAAAATAGTTTTAGTTATTATTATTATTATTATTATTATTATTATTAATTATTATTATTAATTTTTCTTTAATCTTTTTCGGCATTTATTTATATATTTAATTTTTCATCCCTTTAATTTTTTTTTTAGAAACTTAAATAAAAACGAAAATTTTGAAAGAAAAAAAGAAAAAGACTAGGTTAGGATTTGGAAAACAATCGAAAAGCTGGAGAAAACGATTTTTTTTCTTTCTCTCTTTTTTATTTTTTAATAAATTAATTTTTTGGGGAGTTTTTAATAAAAAAAAAAAATATAATGGGAGATCGATCCCTGACAGATCCCTCTACGACTACAAAAAACACCTTCACAATAGGAAAAATAAAAAAAATGAATGAATGAATCTCTGGAATTTTGCCATTTGAGCCCGAAAAATCCTCTTCTTCTCCTCTCATATTTTCCCATTTATTTTTGAAAACCCTTCGTTTAAAAAAAAAAAGGAGAAAAATTTGCCCTATTAACGAAAATTTTATGTTTTACTTCCGGTTTTCGAAATCCCTTTTTCCTGTTCTCCAGACAATAAAATTATGATAAGTCTAATTGTTTTTTTTCTTTCTCTCTCTCAACGTTTAGGTCCTCCCCAAATCACGATACGTCCGAAAAATCTCCAGGTGAAAGCCGGTGGAATCGCCGTTTTTTATTGTGCCGCAACCGGAGATCCACAACCGGTCATACACTGGAGAAAAAATGGGAAAAAAGTATCAAATACGCAAACGAGATATTCGATAAAACCATTTCTTCAGGTGAGTCACTTTTTTATTTTTTCTGTTTTTCTTTTTTTTCCTCCGCGAACGTCTGGAAAAGCGTAAAACAAAAAAGAAGGAAATTTTTTTTTTTTTTTTTTTTTTTTTTACCGATTTCCTGGAGAATTTTTATCGCCGTCAATATTATTTAATTATATTTATAGTTTTTTTATACGAATTCATAGTAAAAAAAAAACAAACTTTTTTATGATTTTTCCTTTTGGCGTTTTTTTTATATTCGCCATGTTGGAAAAAAATTTCCACTTGAATTTTCATCATTTATCTATTTTACTTTTTTTTTTTCTTCTTATTTATCATCTGATTTTATTCTACAAAAAACAAACAGGAAAAAAAAAAAATACAAACAATACTTTTAAAAACGTTCATCTTCTTGTTTGTAAATTTTTTTAAATTTCGCGCGTTTTTTTTAAAAAAAATTTTCCTGGAAAATTTTGCTCATTTTGTTAAAGGAAAATACGTATCGGAAAAATAAATATTTTCCAGACGTTCGATTTTGCTTATTTTTCCGATGAATCGGATTTAATACGATAAGAAATTTAAAATCATTATCAATTTAATAATCGTTTCCGTTTGTATCGAAACCGGAAGTATGAGAAAAATGCGGAAACGGAGAGTACGCAGAAAAAAAAGAAGTGAAATTGCGTTTGTATAAAAAAACAAGTCGGGAGTTGGTTTCGTTTGTTGTTGTCACGTTTAACATCGGATAAAAATGGTGGATGCTCTCTCTCTCTCTCTCTCTCTCTCGTCGTTTGTTTTTGTTTGTTTTTTAATTGCAAACAAATGAAACGTTTGTCGAACGTTTGTCTGTCAATTTCATCACAATTCTGTCATCAACGTGAAAACTCGTAAGAATCGGTTGATGGGAAAAGAGAGAGTACGAAACATTAATGATGAAAAAAGGAAAGCAGAAGAAAAAAAAAAAAATTGTCATCTTGCGATTAAAATTTTATTTTCATTTTCCCCGCCCTCTACCATCCCACTTCCCACCCCCCTCACCCGCCATTTTCATTTTTCTCCAGTCAGTCAGTTTAATTTTTTTTTTTTTTTTTTTTTTTTAGGATCCCTTAAGGCCAATTTCAAATTCGTTATTACCTCCCCCCTTCGCTTTTTTTACCCCTTACCCCGCCCCCTTTTCCAAAACTCGGGCGTAAAAAATAAATAAATAAATAAATATTCGAGTTTAATTTATTTTATTTTATTTTTAAATAAAAAGTTTATTTCGGCGGTTAATCTTTTTTTTTTTTTTTTTTTTTTTTTGTTTTGTTTCCGTTTGTTTGTTTGTTTGTTTTTTTTTTTTTAAATAAGGGTTAAAAAGAGGAATTTTGTTTAAAAAAAAAAAAAAAAAGGAACGTAGGGTCGTGGTAGTAAAAAAGTAGTGATGATAATGGTAGTAGAAAAAGAAAATGAGTGGTCGAGAGGGGTGTTGATGGTGGCGGTTGTTGGCGGTGGTGGTGGCGGCGACGACGGCCGAAACAAAACGTATAATATAAAGTGTTAACTTTTAAAGGAGGCGGGGGGAGGGGAGGGAAGGCGGGAAATGCAAGCGTTAAACAGAAAGGCGTTGTAATGCAAATGAATTCGTTTGCTTTAAAAAAAAAAAAATTATTATTATTATTATTATTATTATTATTTATATAAGCTGAGATTAAAAGGAAAAAAACCTTTGATTTTTTTTTAATAATTTTCCTTTTTTCCTTTTTTTTTCGCTCGGAAAAAAACAAACTTTTGTTTTTTTTGTTTTTGTTTTTTTTGTAAAACCTTTTTTTTTCTCTCTTTATCCATACACACACACATACACATACAATCTCTTTCTCTCTCTCTCTCTCTCTCTCTCTTTCTATTTCCATCTCTTTTTACTCTCCATTTCTTTTTTTATTTTATTTTTTATTTATTTATACGTGAGACTTGATAAATGGCTGTCGAGGCACTGAGGAAAAAAAAAATTTTTTTTATTTTATTTAAAATATTAAATTTAATATCATGAACTGCATCGGATGAGAGTCGTTGGGAAGGGGAAAGGGAACGGAAGGGGAAGGGAAAAAAGGTGAAATAAATTCCTTTGACGTTAATTTTATTCCTTTGAATTCAAACCTTTAATGATATATATATATGTATATATTTTATTAAATCGATTATTGCTTATCTTATAAAACGACCGTTTTTTTTTTTTTCCTTTTGTTTTGTTTCCTTTTTTTTGTTTTGTTTCTTTCGAATTTTTTTTTTTTAAACAATTTTCCGGCGATTTTCTTTTGTTTCCATTTAAAAAAAAAAGTCTGTCTGGTTGTTTTCTCTCTCTCTCTCTCTCTCTCTCTCTCTCTCTCTCTCTCTCTCTCTCTCTCTCTCTCTCTCTCTCGTGTTTTTATATTTTTTTCTAGGATTTATTCGTCTTTTGTTTTTAAAAACCGTTTAAGTTTTATTATTATTTATATTAAGTTTCAAGGGGTGCTTATTATTCATAAAATGGGGGGAGGGGAGGGAAAACTAAAGTACTCGAGTAGTTTAGTTTTTTCTTTTTTAAAACTTAAAATTTTAAAATTGAAATGAAATGAAAGACGACAATTTGTGTAACGAAGGAAATCTTTTACGTCATTTTTTTTCCTTCCTTTCCTTTCCTTTTTAAAGAAAAGGAAAATGAAAAAATAGTAATAATAATAATAATTGTTTTAATTGTTTAAATTTTTTAAATATATATTTTTTTTTTTTTCAGGGAGGAGCTTTGTTTCGTATCGAACCTGTTAGAATATCACGTGATGAAGCCGTTTATGAATGCGCTGCGGAAAATCGAGTTGGTGACGTCGTCACTGCAAAAGCAACCCTTCAAGTCTATGACGGTGAGTTTTTTTTTTTTTTTCCTCTTCCTGTTTGGTTTGAATTGGATTTATATAGTCATCAATTTTTATTTATGCGTGTCTTGTAGTGCGTGCGTGCGTAATACGCGTCAATTTTATCTAATTAAATTTAACCCGTCGCATGGAAAATATAAAAATTACGTTTTTCTTTTTTTTGTTGTTTTCTCATTCGTCTGCTCAAGTCATTAGACGTGCATGCATTTCTCTCGTTTGTCCTCCTCGCGCGAGTTTGTCAGACGACAATTTTATTCTGTTAAATTTTCTTATGCCACGTCTTGCGTAAAGTTCCGCTTTGCGGTCTTAATGACTTCTTCAACAATAAATTTTTCCCATAGAGGGAAACGAGGAAAACGACTTGGAAACGACACGGGAGGGTGGCGGTGGTTGTGTTGCAGAGAGAGAAGGAAAAGGAAGGAAGGAAGGAAGGAAACGGAAATAAAGAGAAAAGGAGAGGAAAGGAAGGGAATGAGGGAGGGAAAAATGTTTGATTTATTTTTCAATTAAATTCGAAGAGAGAGAGAGAGCATTTAAATTTTTTATTTTTTATTTATTAATCGATCAAAAATACATTTCGATTGACATTTGGAAGCCATATTTGTTTTTTTAATTATTACGAACGTGTGTTGAAAAGAAAAAAGAAAAAAAAAAAAAAACATTTCCAGGTTTTTTGTTTGTTTTGTTTTTGTTTTCTTCGGGATCGTTTTCCAGTCGATTTCTTAAACGAATAAAAATTAATAGGTTTTCCTGTAGGAATCGGTAGGAAGACTTTTTGTTTTTCTTCTCTCTCTTTCTCTCCCTATGCAATCGATTTAACGATTAACCTTTTGAAATCTAACGGCAAATTGTTTTTTTTTTTTTCATTTCATTTCCGGTAATGAAAAACCGGAAGAGAGGTGTGGTAGAGGGAGAACCGAAAAAACTTCCGAAAAAGAGACAGAGAGAGAGAAGAAGAAGAAGAAGTTTAAAAGGTTTTTTTTAAAAACTTTTTTCTCATCTCATCTTCTTCCAATTTTTTCTTTCTCAGCCTACATCTTTCTCTCTCTCTCTCTCATTTATTCTATTGTTAAAATTTTAATTGCAACGAAATTAGTTTCGCATATTTAAAATTCCGTTGCGAAATATTTTTATTTTGTTGTTCTTAATGAGTTGGCAGTATAATGTTGCGAAACGTTGCCGTTGCGGTCAATTTATCGTTTTTACCAAATAAGAAACGAATTTAGTTTTTTTTTTTTTCCGTCTCAAAATGGCTGCCTTTGTTTTTAAAAAAATATTATTTATCCCGATTCCCACTCCCCGCCTCCCTTTCTTCCTCCTCTCACGTGAAAATAAATAATTTCCCATTTATTTATTTTGTTTAGTTTTTTTCATTTTAAAAGATTATTTTCTGTTTTTTTTTGTGTTGAACGTTTTGTTTTTTGTGTTCGCTGCCGTTTTGTTTATTTTATCATTATTATTATTATTATTATTTAAAAAAAAGGAAAGAATAGGAAAAAGGTGGTAAATCTTGTGAGTTTGCTCGGGTCGAAAAATATCTCTCTTGCTAACTTGCACGGAGTATTTATATGAAAAGCTTTAAAATCAGTCACGTTCAATTTTAATTTCCTTCCCTTACTAGAAAAAAAAACCTTCCCCATCCCACCCCCCCGTATCAGAAGTTTTAGGAAAAACACGTGCCTTCGTTGTAAAAAAAAAAAAAAAAAAAAAACATTGCCTTTTATTTACATTTAATTTAATAACTTTTCCTTTCATTACGAATGAGGAAAGGAAGGAAGGAAGGAAGGATGGAAGGAGGAGAGGAAGGAAAGAAGGAGGGAGGAAAGGAAGGAAGAAGGGAAGAAAGGTTGAAAAGTTGTTGTGCAGTCTTTTTTTTTTCCTATTTTTTTTTTTTATTGTGGCGTTACCGAACTCGAATTCTATATGGTTGTGCGTGTGTACGTGCGTGAGTGCGTTTGTGCGTGCGTGAGTTTGTACACGCACAAAAGAAGGAGCGGATCAAAAGAGATGATTTTCACAAAAAATGAGAGAGAGAGAGAGAGAGAGAGAGAGAGTTATTTTATAATTATTTTGAATATATACGTATAATTTAAAGGTTTGAATTTTGTTAAAATTTCGTTGAAAATTTCATTTTAATTTAAATGGTTTCTTCTTTTTTCCCGCCCCCCCCACTATTTTTTTTGTTTTGTTTTTAAAAAATTTTTTATCTCGGGATTTACTTTAATAATTTAATAATAATAATAATAAAAAAACACTAAAGAGAGAAAGAGAGAGAGAGTGAATGGATTTTTTGAATGAAAACGTTAAAAAGTTTTTATTATTATTATTTTTTTTTTTTGGGGGGGGAGGAGAGGGGGTAAAAAATTTAAATTTTAAAATCGAGAAAATTTTTAACGGATGATATTATTATTATTTTTATTTTTATTACGCATTAAATTTTTTATTTTCGCATTTAAAAAAAAAAAAAGTTGGCGGGAGCATCACTTTTGGAATATGATTGTCACCGGATGAGAGAAAAGTCCAAAAACTTTTCTTTATTTTGGAAAACTCGTATAAAAAATTGATGATGAGAAAGAACCTCTCGTGAGATTTAAAAAACTTGTTTTTTTTTTTTTTTGGCAGATCAATTTTGTTTTTCTTTTTTATAAAAATAAAAGACGCAATCATCGCACCCGAAATTTTCCGTCTTTTTTGATTGCCATCATATATTAATTTTTTTTTTTTTTTGCTTTTTTTTTCTCCAGCCGATAAATTGCCGAGTGGTTTTCCACAAATCGGACCTACACCGTCGTATAAAGTCGTCGAAGTGAATCACACGGCTGTTTTACAGTGTCCGGCAACGGGAAATCCTATACCGGAAATATCTTGGGTTCGAAACACTTTTCCAATTTCGATAGATTCGAATCCGCGATACAGCATAACGGATAAACCCATACCAGGTTCGTTAAACTTATAGAAAAATGGAAAAACGGGGAAATAAGGCGATTACTAATCGTTATTATTATTATTATCGTGCAGGTACTCTTCACATAGTGGACAGCGTTGAAGACGATCATGGTACATTTGAATGCATAGCGGAAAATAGTCTCGGTACGGAATATTCTCAACCTACGACACTTCACGTCAGAGGTATGTGAAAAATATCGTTGAGAAGAATAAATAAAAAGAAAATTTTGGCGTTCATGTTTTTTTTTTTTTTTTTTTTTTTTGAAACAGAACGACGTGTGGCTCCCAAATTCACAATCAAACCTCTTCCCGTTCACGAAGTCATGTTGGGAGACAATTTGAATTTAACTTGCGTCGCCGCGGGTTCTCCAATGCCACACGTGAAATGGAGAAAAGGAGTCGCAACGGATCTAACACCCGAAGATCAAATTCCGATCGGGAAAAATGTTTTGAAATTAACAAACATACAAGAATCGGAAAATTACACGTGCATCGCTTCAAGCGTCATGGCTCTCATAGAAACGACAACTTTGGTCAAAGTTCAATGTGAGTTTTCTTTTTCCATGTACATGTTTGATGATCGATGATTTGTGCGACAAATTTTGTTATGAATTTCGAAAAGTGAACAAACGAACGAGTGAATAAATAAATAAATAAAAATGGTGGGGGAAGGGGGGGGAATGGAAAAGAAATTTGAATGGCGCGAACGGATTTTTTTTTTTTTTTTTGAATGGATTTCGAATGACGTCGTCTTGATATTTATCCAATTTATTCTAATTAATTTATTTTCCATCCTCTCCCTCCCTTCCTTCCTCCCTATTCTATCCGCATCACAACATCGCCATCAACATTTTCTTTTTTTTTTTAAATATAAAATTGAGAATTTCCATATTTTTTCCCTTTTTCATTTGGAAAACCCTGCCCTTTTCATATCGTCGAAACCAACCAATTCACAAAGCCTTTTCTACAATAAGGGAGTGTCCGTTCAAGTGAGATGAATTCGCATCGAATACACGGAGAGAAAGAAAAAAAAAAAGAGAGAGAGAGAGAAAGAGAAAGGAAAAAAAAAGAAAGAGACTTATAGACAAAAAAAAAAAGAGAAAATCTATTAAAAATATTGAAATTCTCTCAAAATTGTTCTTTAAAAAACTCGCCTGCATAAATTTTGTTGTGTACGTTCAAAAAAAACGTTCGCTTAAAAATTTTTTAATGACGTAACGACCGGAGAAGAAAAAAGAAAGTTTTACCTTTTAATTTTAATTTTAATTTTGCGTTTTTTTACAATTTGTAATTATTTTAAATTGAATGAAAAATTAAAATTTTTTTTTTTTTTTTGATAATCTTGTTTGGTAGGAGGAGGAGGAGGAAGGGAGGGTAGGGTATAGGGGAAAGGGAAAAGCGGAAACGGAAATTGTTTAAAAAAAAAAAAAAGAAAATTTATCGCGATATGTGATTAAGGCAAAAGTTTTTTTTTTTTTTCGGATTATGAGAAAGTTTTTATTTATTTATTTATTTGGCTTATTTTTTCTATTGAATCATCATTATTATCATCATCAGTAATTGTTTTTTACCGAGAAAAAAAAAAAAAAGAAAAAAGAAAAGTATTTTCCGATCCGGGATTTATTTATTTCAAAACGTTTCTTACCAAAGGATGATAATATTTAATTAACCCGGAAATGACGACAAAAATTAATTATTTTTTATTTAAGCGATTAATTTCATTTCGATTATTATTATTATTATTCTCATCGGATTAATAATAATAATAATAATAATAATCGGTGATATCGTTTTGAAAATTGTTTGGTTTTCCGTCGGAATTTTTAAAATTAATCGTTTAATGTTATTGTTGTAATTGGGGGGGAAAAAAAACTAACCGGAAGTGATGTCATCACATCGGAAAAAAAAAACGTTCCAACGGAAATTTATTTTTTTTTCGGAGGGGAAAAAGGGGGAAGGGATAGATATGAAGGAATGATGATATCGACGTGGAAGAAAAATCGTGATTTTTAACTCCGATAATTTTTCCGTCGTGGTTTTAATCGGTTTTCTTAAAACAAATAAGAAATTCTTACGCCACGACGGTAAAAAAAAAAAAATTTAAATTTTCAAAAAATGTTTTTTTTTTTTTTCGTAAGAAAAAAATTAATTAAAGATGATCGATAAATATTTCTTCTGCTTTTTTTCCGGTATAAAAATCGGGTAATAATTTAACGTGTATTCGATTATGTATTATTAAAAATTCTAAAACGATATAGGTGGGGGGGGGGAGAAAAACGATAAAGGAAGTGAATAAGAATAAGGAGAGAAATTAATAATAATGATAATAAGGAAACGGGAAAAGGGGATGGGGGAAGAGTAAAAAGAAAGAGGAAAAAAATTGGAAATAGATAAATTATATTAATAAAAAGGAAAAGAAAGAAGAAAAAAAATTGAAATTGATGAAATTAAAATTTAATTCCAGAGATTTCCGGTTTGTCAATAATATTATATAAATATGCCTCACAGGGACATTTTCCTTTTAAAAATTATTATTATTATTATTACATCTCCCGAAAAGGAATTATTTTAATTAATTTTTTTTTTTTGGTTTTTGACAGCTTTGCCGAGTGCTCCATCAATGTTGCAAGTATCCGACGTGACGGCAACATCGGCTCAACTTTCATGGTCCTACACTGGTCCCGAAGATATACAATATTACGTCATACAGTATAAACCCAAACACGCGAATCAAAAATATTCGGAAATCTCGGGGGTCATAACGTCTTATTACACGGTGAGGAGTTTGAGTCCATACACGGAATACGAAATGTCCGTCATAGCCGTTAACAACATAGGTCGAGGACCCCCGAGTCAGTCTGTCGTCGTAACGACTGGAGAAACCGGTAATGATATTTTTTCTCTCTCTCTCTCTCTCTCACTCTCTCTCACTCTATCTATCTATCTCATTCTCTCTTCGATCGTGTGACTTTTTTTTTTTTTTTTTTTTTTTTTTTGGAAACTTTGAAATTTTTTATAAAACGAATATTTTTTCTATTTTTTGATTGATTGATTGATTGATTTTGATTTTTGAAAATTTTTTTTTTTTTTTTTGTTTTTTGATTTTCATGCCAAATATTTTGGATTCCGGGGTTGTTTTTTTTTTTTTTTTTTTCCTCACTCTCGATATGGTGGAAAATAAATATCCGTATCCGTATCCGTTATAAAACGACGTAAGTTGTTTTTTGTATTAATTTTTTTTGTATTTTTTTTTTTTTTTTTCGCTGATACTTATAAATTCGCGTTCGTTTTTTTTTTTTGTTTTTTTGGCATTGCCAACCGTTCGATTTTTTTAAAATTTTTTTTATCAGCGAAAAAAAATAAAAACGTTTGAAACGTTCGAAACGTTCGACGCGGTGAAAAATTTTCCCTATAATTTTTCCGGCTTAAAATTAATTATTTTTCTTTCTTTTATAGCTGATTTGGCTATAGGAAACACAAGTAAGTCAAACCAAAGCTTACTTATATTTCAGTAACGATAATAATAATAATAATAATAATAATAATAACGTTTATTTAAAAAAAAAAAGTTTTCTTCGTATGAAATAGTATAACTGTGCGCGTGCGCGTGCGAGAGTGTGATTAATATGTATATTGTCTATCGCACATTTAATTTATTTTTTTTTGTATTTGTTTTAAAAAAATCATTATTATTACTATTATTATTATTATTGTTTAATTCGATGAGGGTTTTGGTGACGAGGAGGTAATAATCGTAGTTCTAATGTAAAAAGTTACAACTATTACCACTACCACTTCTCTTCGAAAAGTCACGCCTTTATTTTTTTTTCCTTGTGTGCGTGTGTGCGTGTGCGTGTCCGAGTTTGTTTTTTTTTTTTTTTTTGTAACTGGATGGGTGTGGTCATACGTTCTTTAAATGTATACATATATATGTATGTACTTTTCTATGCGTATCTAATTACGGGGGAATTTGTTTTAGTGAGTGAAAGAGGAGGAAGGAAGGAAGAAAAAAATGATGAAACGGGTTAAAGGTCGTGTATTTGTTTTGAGTTAAAAACATGGCGGAAATCATACATTTTTCTATTCCCTCCCCCCCTTATTTGTATCGCAAACGCGCGCGTTCGATTTGAATAGGTTTTCCGGTTTTTAAAACGTTCGTTTGAGAGCGAAGGGGGGGGGGAGGAAAAATTAATAAAATAATTTTTTTTTTATGCCGCCGAAGAAAGGCAGCAGGAGCAACGACGACGACAACAACAACAACAAATTAAATTCATTCGTTAGAAATATAATAATAATAATAATAATAATAATAATAATAATAATAATAATAATAATAATAATAAAACGTTATCGTCAATAACCATAATTTAAAATATAAAATATATATATATATATAAAATTTTTTAGGAAAAGGAGGGTAAAACGGAGAGACGAAAAACTAGTTTTTCCTTTTAACAAAGGATTTTAATAACCTTTTTTTCCTCTCTCTCTCTCTCTCTCTCTCTCTTTCTCTCTTCCACTCTCTCTCCTTTTCTCTCTCCCTCTCTTTCACTTTCTCTTCCTCTCTCTCTCTCTCTCTCTCTCTCTCTCTCTCTCTCTCTCTCCCATTTTTCCCTTTTTTCCTTTTTTGTGCCTTTGATGTTTTTTAATTCATTCATTTATCTTTGCAAATATTATTTCCTTAGTTTTTACAACGAAATAAATAATAATAATAATGATAATGATAATAATGAAAATAATAATAATTTTGTTTTGATTTTATCAAATTTTAGAAAATGTATGGAGATTATTTTGTACACGTGTACATATTGTAAATAAATTATGTCACATTATACGTGCGTGTGTGTGTGAAATTTTTTATTGTTTTTATTATTATTATTATTAATTTAAAAATTTTTTTTTGGGGGGGGGGAGGGGGAAAGTTTGCGAGTGCGTGCGTGCGTGCGTGTGAGAGAACGCGCGTGATTTTTGTGTAACTTTTTTCTCTCACTGTTTTTAATATTTGTATGTGTTTGTATATATAATAATGATTTGTACGATTTTCTTTTTCATCTGTAGATTTTTCCTTTTTTTTTTTGTTTGTCACGAGACAACTCTGTGGGTTGTAGATATTTGTATTTATTTGTTTTTTTTTTCTTTTAGAACCTGGAACGGCGCCTAGAAACGTTCAAGTTCGACCGTTGAGTTCTAGCACAATGGTTATACAGTGGGACGAACCGGAAACAGCCAACGGTCAAGTTACCGTGCGTGTTATTTTTTTCCTATTTGTCACGTGATTTCACGATAGTATTTCAAATTCGATTTTTTTTAATGATGATTAATCTTTTTATTATTATTATTATTATAATCACCAGGGTTATAAAGTGTATTACACGACGAATCCTCAGCTTCCCATCGCGTCATGGGAATCTCAAATGGTCGACGTGAATCATTTGACGACAATAAGCGGGTTGACGCCCCACACGATATACACGATTCGGGTTCAAGCTTTTACCAGTGTTGGACCGGGGCCGCTAAGCACTCCTGCCCTTGTTAAAACTCAACAAGGAGTACCCAGTCAACCGGTTAATTTGAGAGTGACGGATTTCGACGAAACGAGCGCGACTTTACAATGGGGAAAACCCGTTCATTCGAGCGAGACGATTGTGTCCTACGAGCTCTATTGGAATGACACTTATGCAAACGTAAGAGAGAAAACTTTTGTGTCTTCTCTCTCTCTCTCTCACTCACTCTTTCTCTCTCATCTTAGATCTCTTTTCGACGTTGATTTGTTATTGTGTTAACCATTATTATTATTTTTTTTGTTTCAAAGGAAAAACATCACACTCCGATCCCCGCTTCCGAATCGTACACCCTAAACGATTTATATCCCAATACTTTGTATTACGTTTGGTTGGCTGCGAGGAATCAAAGAGGAGAAGGAGCGACGACTCCGCCGATTCCGTTCAGAACGAAACAATACGGTAAGAAAATGTTTTTCTTTTTTTTTTTATAATTTTCTTTTATCATTGAACCCCCCGGCCCCCAAGAAAAAAAAAACAGAAAAGTTTTTATTAATAGGCTAAAACTCGTAATTGGATCACGCGCGTGTATGTATACAAAGGTAAGGTTGATACTGTAGTAGATAAATTGATAAAAATAAGGTCGAAAGAAAGAACAAACAACAACGTTTGTCCAGTCCAATCGCCCATGGAAACCGGAAGAACAAAAAAAAAAAAAAAATTTTTTTTTGCGACCGTCGCTACGTGCACCGCGTTCACGAAAAGGGAAAAATCGGGGGGTGGAGGTTTTCACGGAGCCAGAAACGCTTTTCAAACACAAAAAAAAAATTTCCCGATTGGTTTTGTCGAAGAAAAGTTTTAAAATTAAACAAAAGAGATAAAAAAATTAATTGTCGCGAAGAAACTTTACAATTTAAAAAAAAAAAAAAAAAAACTAAAATAAAATAAAACATTTTGCGGTGAATTCTCGCATTCGAATTTCGGGGGAGGATGGGGAGGAAGGGCGGGGGCGGCCGATAACCCCCACCGCACGGTTATAAATTTTTATTAATGTCGCAAAAAATGGGCGAAACTTGAGCGTTTGTTTGTTTGTTTGTTTATTTATTTATTTATTTTATTTTTGAAAGATTTATATTTATATATATAAAAATTAAATTCCTTTTTCTACCCCCCCCCCTCAACTTTTTTTAATTCGCGAAAGTGGTGAGGGGGTTGGTTTCTTTATGTTGATGGGGGGAAGAAAAAAATTTTTTTTGGTGATTTTTTTAAATCGCGTTTATGCTCGGCGTTCGTTCATTTTTTTAAAATTTATTTTGAAAAAAAAATTTTAGATTTTCTTTTCAAAAGGATTTTTCCTCTCTTCTTGCCCGCTCCCCCCGCTTCCTTCTCTCGTTATCCAATATATACTAATTTCCACGTATAAAAATTATAAATTTATTATAAAATTTATTATAAAATCTATAAATTACATTGAAAACAAAAGGGAAAAAAGAGAGGGAAGGTGAGGAGGAACCGGTTTAAAGGGATTTGGGGGGATACGTGAGGGTAGGGAAGAGAAAAAGAGAGAGAAAAGAGCCGGAGGGAAAATCATCTCTTTTTTTTTTAAAAAAAAAAAAAAAAAAAAATCTTTTTCCTTTTGTAAAACCAAATAGTATTTTTTCAAATTTATTATTTTTTATTATTATTTTTTCACATTTGAAAAAATTAACGTTTTTAACTGTTTTGATGCTTTCTCTCTCTCTCTCTCTCTCTCTCTTTCTCTCTTTGTCTCTCTCTCTCTTTCTCTCTTTGTCTCTCTCTCTCTCTCTTTCTCTGTTTCTGTCTCTATCCCTCTCTTTCTGTCTTTTCCATTTCACACGTTTCGAAATTGAAACTAAACAAACGTTCAATTTTTCGTCTGGATTGAAATTTAATTGCGTCTTCATATGACGTCGGAAAAATAATAATAATAATGATATACGTTTTGTTTCCCCCCCCCCCCCGCCGCCAAACGTTCGCGTGTAATTTTTTTTCATTGACGAACGTCGCAGACATTTTTTTTTTTTTTTGGAATATAAAAAACGAGACGACGAAATTTTTAAATGCATTAAATCGTGACGTGATCGTATTCGAAAAACACCGTGGGGGGAGTGGGGGGAAAGGGAAAAACGACACGAGAGATCGAAAAGCCCACAAATCGAATAATCAAAATCGAATCGAACATTTAAAAAACAAAGAGAGAGAGAGAGAGAAAAACTGGTGAGTAACGGATGAGAAAAAAAAAGAAAAGAAAATGGTCGCTACGACCGGAAAAACGCAGCGTTTTTTTTTTCTCTTCCCATTTTCCTTTTATTACTATTATTTTTTCTGCTAACGTAATTATTGCAATCGATTCGATCGATCGATGGATCGATCCATCGATCGATCAATCGATTTTTTTTTTTTTTGTAAACATTGAATTTAATGATTGGAAATATTTTCGTTTAAAATTTTGATTGTTATTGTAATAATAATAATAATAATTTACTAATGATAACAAATACTAATGATGATAATGATAATGATAATGATAATAATGTACATATATACGTAATGATAGATGAATCATGTCGTAATGTATATGTATATAATAATTTTTCTACAGTGGCAAAAAAATTAATCCGAATTGTGGTCGCCGTTTAAGAGAGAAAAAAAAAAACCACACGAGCGATCGGTAAATGAGCATGTTTATTAATTAATTATTATTATTAATTAATTAATCACATAATAATCACATTAATAATATTATTATTTTATTTAATTATCATGGTGATGATGATGATGATGATGATGACGACAACAATGATATTAATAATAATTGAAAATTATTTTGATTAATTTTTGAAATCGTTTTTTTTTTCTTTTGTATTTTTATTTTTTATAAATTCGTTTTTCACCGCTCATATGATGATGAATGATAAAACGCGCGTTATCACTATGACGTCAACGTGCGTCATCGTCTTCGTGATAACGCGCGTAGGAAAAAAAAAGCCGCGTGAAAAACGAAAAATGAAAGTAATTTTAACATACATGTATATATACATTTGTACATATATATATGTATACGTAAATGCGTATTGTAGTTCTTTTTCAGCTTTTGTTTTTTTTTTTTTTTTTTTTTTTTGTAATAATAATAATAATAATAATGATGTTGATAATGATGATGATGATGACGATTGTGAGACAAATGGAAGAAGGAAAAAAAAAAAACTAACAAAAAAAAAAAAAAGTAAATATGTATAGGTATATATATATATATATTTATATATGGAAGCACAGCAAGAAGAGCTACGCACAAAACACACACGCACTCACTCACACACACATATATATTCACGCCCACTTTTCTGCACCGCATCGTACTGATTATTATTATTATTATATGCACAGCAATGCACTGAAACGCACTAAAAAAAAAAATGCACATTGAAAATATTAATGATTTGATTTGATTTGAGATTGATAATAATTTGTGTGTTATTATTATTATTATTATTATTATTATTATTATTAATTAATTAATTAATTAATTATTAATGTTCGTCATATTGATTTTTTTTATTGATTTTTTTCTTCTTCTTTTACTTTTATTTCAAATCCCGTGGAATTTTATTTATTTATTTATTTATTTATTTCCACGTGTATTCCAGCCGATAATTTTAAAATAAAAAATGTGACGTCACTCACGAGAATTTTAAAATTTTTAAAACTTTAATGGAGGAGGAGTAGGAGTAGGAGGAGGAGGAGAAAGGGGCGGAGAAAAGGGGGTCGAGAGAACAGGGGGAGGGGGATAATGATTGAGATTACCAATGACGTCATTGCCTAACGTCGATTGGCTAAAGTTTTTAATTTTTTTAAAACTCGCGTCGCCTCGAATTTGCGACGATGACGTAACGAAGCAGAAGACAAAAAAACCAAAGAAGTGAAACAAAAAAAAAAAAATTAAAATAATAATTAACCGGAAATGTTGAAAGGTTTTAAAAAGAAAATACAAAAACACGTTAAATGAGGTCAGTCAGTCAGTTTGTCAGTCAACAACGCAACATATAAACAAACAAACAAACAAACAAAACACTAACAAACACGTATTAGGAAGTTTTTAAAAAAAAATAATTTTTTCGTTTTATTTATTTTTTTATGTTTTTTTTTTTTTTTTTATGTTTTGTTGATATTATTCGAGGGAGATTTTTGAATAGAGGAAGGGAAGGGAGAGATGGGGAGTAAAAAAAAATTTGAAACTCAATGCATCAATGCAATAATGATAATAATAATTATGATAATAGTTATATTTACCCCAAAAAAAAAATTTTATATATAAATATATATATATACATATAAATAGTTAGAGTTATAATATAAATGATTACAATATCGAAAATTTACACTTAAGTACCAGGAGCACCACCTCAAAACATTTCCGGTGAAGCAGACGGTCCAACCTCGATAAGGGTTAGTTGGAGTCCTCCGGCGGAAAGGTCCAATGGTCGGATTGTCTACTACAAATTACAATTTGTGGAAAAAGATCGTTCCGATTCGGAAGCAGCCGTTGTGACCATTGTTAACGTGACTTCGACTTCTTTTACTTTGGAAGAACTTAAAAGATGGACAGAATATAAAATTTGGGTTTTAGCCGGAACAAGCGTGGGCGATGGTCCTTCGTCCGATCCCATATATGTACGAACGCATGAAGATGGTATGTTGTTTTTTTTTTTTTTTTTTTTTTTTTTCATTTTTTCTTTTATCATTTTTATCATTTTTTTTATTTTCATTTTATTCATTTTCATTTTTTTTAAATTTCGGTTTTATTTTTATTTATTTTTTGTTTATTTTATTTTAATTTTCGGTTTTACCTGAAATCTAAAAAAAAAAAAAAAAAATAAAAAACTAAAAAACTAAAAAAAAGAAAAATTTGATTTGGTTGGGAAAAAAATTTTGGAACGTTATAATTTTATATTAAGTGAGGAAAAAGAAGAAGGAATGAAAGAGAAGAAGAGAGAGAGAAAGGTACCTTAGGTTTCAGAAAGATGAGAGAGAGAGAGAGAAAGGAAGAAGGAAAGGTATTTAAGGATTATGAAGGAAGAGAGAGAAAGAGGTAAACGATAGTTAGCTAGAAAGAGAGAGAGAGAGGAAAGAGGGGAAGGTATCTAAAGTTTTAGAAGCATGAGAGAAAGAGAGAGAGAGAGGGAAAGGTACCTAACGTTTCAGAAAGATGAGAGAAAGAAAGAGAGAAAGGTATATAAGGTTTTGGAAGGATGAGAAAGAAAGAGGGAACGACCGTTAGCGAGAAAGAGAGAGGGAGGGAAAGGTACCTAAGGTTTCGGAAGAAAGAGGGAGAGAAAGAGGAAACAGCCGTTAGCGAGAAAGAGAGAGAGAGAGGGAGGAAAAATTGCATTTTCCAGTTTTTTTATTTTTTTTCTTCTTATCATTTCAAATCGGTCATTCAACTGGAGTTTTTAAGATTTTCTTATCTCAATTCTTTATCATCGGAAAAGTTCGTCTAGCTTTCGATTCGCTTAGAAAATTTTTTCTTTTTTATAAAATCGATTCTCGAACATTATTATTCGATCGACGACATTTTTTTTTTTTTTTTCCGGAAATGACGTCCATTAAACCTCAACCTTATCATTTCCTTTTTTCTTTTATTCTCTCTCCCAGAGGGTAAGGAGTCGAGTCGTGATGAGTAAGAACAACCCCAAACAACCCCCCCCCCGTAGGTATAAAGGGAAAACAAAATAAAAACAACCAAAAACCTTAACAACCAAAAAAAAAAATCTTTTTCTCATATCCATAGATTTTTGAAATTTTTTTTTTTTTTTCAAAGTTTCCCGCAAAAATTTTTTTTGCTCTTTTTTTGTTTTGTTTTTTGATGCGGGAAAATCCGGGAAATTTTTTTTTTTTTTCATTTTTTATTTTGTTGCCCCATTAACAAAAAAAAAAAAAGAAAATTTTTTTTCTCTCCCCCTCCCCTTTCTCCCACTTATTTTGTTTTTTGTTTTTTCATGTTTTTTTTCATGTTTTTTTGTTTTTTATATGTAAACGTAACAAAATTTTTTCATTCCAGATTAAATTTTTTTCTTTTTTTTTTTTTTTTTTTTTGTTCAATTCACGTAGATTGACACGAGTCAAAAAAAAAATAGTAATAATGATAATAATAATAATAATTTTTTAGTTTTTTTTTTTTTTTTTGGTGATCAACGGAAATAATAATAATAATTTTAAATTTTATTTATTTATTTATATATATATATAAATTTTTTTTTCATCTGTTTTATGCGTGCGGACGGAAGGACACGTCAGAATTAAAAATTTTTTTTTTTTAAATTTTTTTTGGAAATTCGTAATCGGCCCCCCCCCCCCCATCGTCCCGGCCCCTATTTCCCATTTAAAAAAAAATTATCGGTCCCAAATGATTGAAAAAAAAAAATATATTAATGAAAACAAAATTTTTTTTTTTTTTTTTTGTAAATTTTTGTATTTTTTGTATTTTTTGTATTAATTTTTAAATTTTTTAATTCACTCGCACATGGTTTGATTGCTTTTTTCGTGGCACAAGAATTTAAAAAAAAATTTTTTTTTTGTTTTTTGTTTTTTTTTTTTTTAAAAAAATTTTTTACAATTTTTTACAGCAGTTTTTTGTGAAACATGTATTTTTTTTGCGTCTAGATGATTTTTTTTGTTTTTTGTTTTTTGTTTCACGCCGTCGTGCACTTAGAATTAGTTTGCATGATTTTCCTTTGAACGTCACACGTACGTACACGAACATACACGAACACACACGAACACACACACACATGCACCCTCTTTTCACTATCGTTCACACTTCCCTTCTTTGATTTTTTTTTCTGTTTTTTTTTTTTTGAATTTCGTATATGATTGAGCACTTGAGTGTTGAAAAAAGTATGAATTAAGTTTACTAGATGATAATGATGATGATGATGATGTCGATGATGATGATGATGATGATGATGACGACGGTGGTTAAAAAAAAAAAAAACAAAAAAAACTTAACCGTCGAAAATAATAACAAAGTGAGTGATTTACTTTTATTTATTTATTTAATTTTTTTTGTTTGTTTGTTTGAACGAAGTATTATTATTATTATTAAATTGATGATCGAATTAAATATGTACATAAACCGGATTATTATTATTATTCGTGTTATGACGTTTCATTTTAATTACGTCACCCGATTCGAATTTTTTTTGTGAAAAAACTTAACGGAAATTTTCTAAACAAAACGAGAGTGGGAGGAAGAGGGGGAAAAATAAAAGTAAAAATAATAATGATGATAGGAAAAAGGAAAGAATTAAAAACCGGAAACTGGGATTTTTTTTTTTTTTTTTTACACATTTAAGATCAAAACGTGACACTTTCGCATCGTTTACGTTTAGTTTTTTGTTTTGTTATTTCCGGTCGGGAAAAAATGGGTCGTCAGCGCGCTCGCGCGGAAAATTTATAAAATAAAAAGTATTCCGAATGACGTCATAAACAATTCGCCAACGTATATATTTGATTCGATCATTGAATTAATTCATAAAATAAAATAAAACAAACGGATATCGAATTCGTTTGTTGTGAGAGAGAAAGAGAGAGAGACAGACAAAAAAAAAAGAAAAGAAAGATAATGATAACGATGATGATGGAAAAATTTGGCAAAGGACTCGCATTTGAATACCAATGATAATAGCATTAGTGATAACAAATAATAAAGGTAAAGATTGATAATTAATTGCATACATAAATTATTATTATTATTATTATTTTCATGCATGCGCATACCTACATTTTTCTTGTTGTCTTTTTTAATTTTAAATAATAATAATAATTATGACGATGATGATGATGTTGTAAATAAAAACGTTAGAATTCTCATCTCTTTTGTTTTGGAAAAACAAAAAACAAAAAACAAAATGCGTAGAAAATTACGCACGCACGTGTAACACGAAAAAAAAAGGTAATCATTACTTATATGTGTGAGTGAAAAAAAAACATTACTATAATTATTTTTCAAAATTTAAAACAAAAATGGGGGGGGGGGAAAGAAAAACAGTTGAAAATAAATTATTATTTAGCCGCCATTTTGACGTTACGTGACGTCATGTGACGTCACGCGACGTCACACGACTCACCTTTTTTTTTTCATAAAATGAAATCGGAATTAATAATATCGATTATCGATTATCGATTATTATTCGATTTAAAACGGACGAAAAAATGTCGACTGTTTTTCTTTCCCCCGCCCTCCCCTCCCTCCCACATCCCCCCCCGATTTATTTTGTTTTGCATGTTTATTTTATAAATTATAGGAAAAGACATACACACACCCACACACACGAAAAACTTTTTTCACGCTCACGAATTTTTTTTTTTTTTTAATCCTAATTTAATTAAATATTTATTTATTTATTTGATTGATTTATTCTAAAACCACGATAAATGAAAAAATAAATGACGCTTTTCGCACGCATAATGTGATATTAATAATAATAATATTTAATATTAAAATAATAATTTGAATACGCACTAATTGTTTTAATTGTGTGTGATGATAAAAAAAAATCACGATTAATTATTTTATGATCTCGTTATTAATTTAATTATTATTATTAATTTTCGTTTTTTTTTCTTAATGCACCACGCACACACGCACACACACACACGCAAAAAAATTTATTTTGTCCGAAAAAAAAAAATTTTTTTTCTTTTCTTTCTTTTTTTTTTTTTTTTTTTTATTATTTCGGATCTGATTTGGGGGTGATTTGCACACAAAACAGTGGTGGAAAAAAGTGAGTAGTACTCGTAGGTTGTTTGTTTTATTATTATTATTATTAATGTTTTGTATGTGTGTAGTTGCGAAAAATCGTTATTTCTTTTTTTTTTTTTTCTATAAATAGTTTTTTTTAAACGTTGAAAATGAAAAACAAACAAATTTTTTTCTTATGATTATGGTTATTTTGTAATAATAGTTAGAAAAGTAGATTTTGCTAAATTTTTTTTTTTTTTTGCTGTTGGTTAATTAGAATTAAATTTTTTTTTTTTTTTTATATTAGTAAATTAGTTTCACGAGCTTACAATAATAATAATAATAATTGAAATAATGGTTATTATTATTATTTTAGTTATTTATATTTTTATTTCGAGTCAAAAAATTTGGGTCAAATTTTTCAATGGAGGTAAACACAAAAAAAAAAAAAAAAAAAAAAAATGTCTACAAATCTCAAAAGTAAAGTTGGTATTCAAATGTTTTTTTTCTTTTTTATTTAATTTTTTTCTCTTTTATATCAAACAAAACAAAAAAAAAAAAATTGAAACGAATTGAAAAATTAAAAAAAAAAATAAATAAATAAATAAAAGCAGTCCTGATATGATATCGTTAAAATAAATAAATGAATGCGTGATGACGTAGACACGTCGTGGCATCAAAATGAAAATTTTCGCGCCAAAAAAAAAGTAAACAAATAAATAAATTCGTTAATCGCCACCCGCGGCGGGGGCGTGCTGCTTTTGTTTTGTTTTTTTTTTTTTTTTTACAGATTTTTCAACGGTTTGAAATTTTTTTTTTTTTCTTTGTTTTTCCCCCATTTTTCTTTTCATTTTTTTTACATTTTATTTTATTTTCATTTATTTTTTTCTTGTATTTTCGTGGGGGGGTCTTAAAATCAGAATTAAACTTAATTTACGAGGTAAGTTGTTTGCATATAATTAACTTAAAAGTTTTTTTTTTTTTAAAATGTTTAAACGTTTAAACATTTGTTCAGAGAGAGAAAAAGAAAGTATTTATTATTTATTTTAAATTAATTAAGATGTGAAATCGAGAGACGTTTGAAAAAGTTTTCAATAAGTTTTTTTCAAATGTAAAAATTATTTCGTGTCGTTTTTTACGCGTATTTGATGTTGTTGCATCATCGACGTTGTCAAATTTTGACGCGGGTAAATTTTTTTAAATTCGAACGATTCGAACGTTTGGAACGTTTGGAACGTCAACGTTAACGTCAAGCAGTTGCGGTTTTCATTTAAAAAGAAAAAAAAGTTAGATTACCGTTTTATTAAATATTATTTATGGATAAATTATTATTAATTACATGTGTTAAAATTAAATAAATGTCGGTGAAGACAAAAAAAAAAGAAATTTTAACGTTTGTTTGTTTGTTTTTTAATATTATTTTTCGATGGGTTTCAGTGCCGGGAGAACCGAGAGACGTTAAAGTTTTCCCAATAAATTCAACGTCCATTCAAGTTATGTGGAAACCCCCAGCAGACAGAGAAAGAAATGGCGTCATTCGCGGATATCACGTTCACGTACAAGAAACAAGAGATGAGGTAATGATCTTTAAAAAAACAATTTTTGTTTTCAACAATGTCAGACGATTGTTGTAATTTTCTTTTTTTTTCCTCTCATTTTCAGAGTAAAAATTTAGTGAACGAACCATTGACCATCGATGTTTCCGATGGTAACGTTTTAGAACTTAACGTGACCGGTCTTCAACCTGATACGAAATACAACGTTCAAGTGGCAGCTTTGACTAGAAAGGGAGACGGAAATAGGAGTCCTCCAGTGTCAATAAAAACTCCCGGAGGAGTACCCAATAGGCCAACCGTTAATTTAAAGTAAAATTTTGTAACATTTCTATTAGTTATTACATACTCACACTTATTATTTGGAATGGGTTACAAAAAAAAGGTTTATTTATAATTTTTTTTTTTTTTTGCTTTTTCAAAAGGGTTATGGAAAAAGAACCGACCGTTAGCATAGAGCTGGAATGGACTAAACCAACTCAAACCTACGGTGAATTAATAGGTTATAAATTAAAACACGGAATCAAAGATCAACCATTAAAAGAAGAAATAATAAAGGGTTCAGGGAAAACAAGTCGAAGTTTTGTTGATTTAGGTAAAATTCAGACATGAATATATATATATAAATGTATTCAAACTTGTGTAAATGTTTAACTTTTGCTTAGTTTCTTGTCAGTAACTCTAAACATTCTAGAAAAAAAAGAAAGAAAGAAAGTAAAACAAGAGAAAAGTTATAACAAAATGTTTCTGTTTGTTTTTACACTAAAATTTTAAATTTCTCTTAAACTTGACTTAATGACTCATTAATTTTTTTTTGTCATCTCTTCTTTTTCTTTTTTAGAAAGAGGTTTGGAATATGAATTTCGCATAGCTGGACAAAATGCCGTCGGATACGGTCAAGAAACCGTAAAATATTTTTTGACTCCCGAGGGTCCCCCCTCTGGACCACCGTTAAATATATCTTATCGGTTTCAAACTCCCGATGTCGTGTGCATAACGTGGGTTCCACCTTCGAGAGATCAGAGAAATGGTCAAATAACTCATTACGACATACAATTTTTTAAAAAAATGGATCATTCGACGGTACCCGAAAGAAACACGACTCAAACCAAAGTGAATACAATATTAAAATTTGATTTGTTTAATACGTTTTTTAAAACGTATGAAAAAAAAAAAATAATAAAATTTTTTCCAGGCCGTTTTTTCCAATCTGGAAGAAAACACCGAATACGTTTTTCAAATAAGAGCATTTACGAGTCAGGGTCCCGGACCGTTTAGTGAAAAAATTTCAATAAAAACCGAAAGAGACATGATGAGAGCACCGATGAACGTTGAAGCTGTTGCAACATCCGAAGAATCCGTCGAAGTTTGGTGGGAAGCAGTTCCGGCAAGGTCAAAAGTCATCGGTTATCAGGTTCGTGTCGGAAAATAAGGTCGATTGTAATTGTTGATCTATGAAAATCAATGACGATTTCTTTTTTTTTTTTTTTCTTCTTAAAGATATTTTACACGATGACGGCGGTCGAAGATTTAGACGAATGGCAGCAAAAATCCGTTTCTCTCACGGAATCGGCGGATTTATTAAATTTAGAAAAATTTGCACAATATGCAATCGCGGTGGCAGCTCGTACGAAAGTAGGTTTGGGACGTTTATCGGAAAAAGTTACCGTTAAAATAAAACCCGAAGATGTACCTTTGAACTTGAGAGCCCATGATGTTTCAACTCATTCCATGACTCTCTCGTGGTCTCCTCCCATAAGACTTAATCCTATTAACTACAAGGTAAATTTTTTTAATATATTTTTTTTTACTATCTGGGAATACACAAATACAATTGCTTTGTTTTTATTTAAATATTAGATCTCATTTGATGCCGTCAAAGAATTTGTCGATTCGCAAGGTGTCACGCAAACTCAAAATATTATAAGAAGACACGTAACTCTTCCACCCAATACCAGATCTCATACCATAAATGATTTATCTCCGTTCACGACGTATCACGTCAACGTCAGTGCAATTCCTTCCGATGAAAAATATAGGCCTCCCAATAAAATAACCGTTACGACTCAAATGGCGGGTAAATTATAAATTGTTAATCAAAATAATCGTCAATGATCACGATGGGTAATGAATATACACATATATCAAAAATAAATTTTTTTTTTTTTTTTTTAGCTCCTCAACCGATGGTGAAACCAGGTTTTTACGGAGTCGAAAAAGGAGAAGAAATAAGGGTTATATTACCGCAAGCTTCTGAAGAATACGGACCGATAAGTCATTATTATTTGATTGTGGTGCCTGATGACGAAATTAACAATAGAAAAAGTCCCGATCAGTTTCTCACCGAAGATGTGCGTCTTGTACCTTAACGATTTTTTAGTTTTTCTTTAATTGTGTTTGATGTATACGTTTTTACTTTCTTTTTTAGCTCCTGGAAAATAAGGGTCAAAAATTTGAAAGTGATAACGCACCTTACATAGCCGCAAAATTCCCTCAAAGAAATATTCCGTATGCTTTTCTTTTGGGGGCCGGAGAAACTAATGGCGGATTTCTCAACAGGAAACTCGATAAGAGAAAACGTTACAGAATTGTTGTGCGTGCCGTTGTCGACACACCGGAAAAAGTAAATTTTTTTTTTTTTTTTTTTTTGAAAGGATTGAAAACAAATGTACAATGCGATTCAGGTTGTTAAATTACTTTTTTTTGTTTTTTGTAGGATTTGTACACGTCTAGTCCGTTCTCAGATTTTATGTCTTTGGATATGAGAGAAGTGCCTCCGGGTGATCTTCCAAGGCGGCCAAATCCAAGTGTTCCAATCGATGGAGTGGATGTTTTTGTCAATAGAAGCACCGAAGAAGCTGGTATTGTTTGGATCATCGGTCCAGTTATTGCTTGCCTTGTTCTATCCATTTGCTTTGTTTTATTTTATATTGTGCGAAAGTAAGATTTTTTTTTGAACGAAACGATTCAAAAATTCATTTTATATCGATTATGCGAAAATTTTAATAATTATATAAAAAACTTTTTTTACTCACAGACGAAGACGTCCCTGTAAGCCTTTGGATCAGTCTGCCGTTACACGTCCACTTATGGCTGCCGACGTTGGTAGTGGTCACGTTGTAAGCGATCCAGTGGAAATGAGAAGACTGAATTTTCAAACGCCGGGAATGATTTCGCATCCTCCCATACCAATTTCTGAATTAGCAAATCATATTGAAAGACTTAAAGCAAATGACAATTTAAAATTTTCTCAGGAATACGAAGTAAGGATTTTCGTACCTAATATACCATATTATATACCATGACGATTTGATCGAATGTAATTTTTTGAATATTTCAGTCGATCGAACCAGGTCAGCAATTCACTTGGGATCATTCAAACATGGAATGCAACAAATCTAAGAATAGATACGCAAATGTTATAGCTTACGATCATTCGAGAGTTATACTTCAACCCATCGATGGATCTGATTACATAAATGCAAATTACTGCGACGGGTATCGAAAACATAACGCTTATGTTGCCACTCAGGTACGTCTTCTTTCTGTCTGTTGGTATCAGACGAAATCAAACACAAACCAAATCTTAATGTTAAATTTTATGTTTTTTTAAATTAGGGCCCTCTTCACGAAACGTTTTCCGATTTTTGGAGAATGTGTTGGGAACTTCGTACAAGTACAATCGTCATGATGACAAGGCTAGAAGAACGTGCTAGAATAAAATGCGATCAATATTGGCCTTCTAGAGGAACCGAAACTTACGGCCCTGTTTCTGTCACCATAACGGATACTCAAGAATTAGCTACTTATTGCATTCGTACCTTTCAATTGCATAGAGTATGTAAACATATTATTGTACCTTTTTTGTGTAATACCGAGAAGTAACCTTATTAAAATTATTGTTTTACAGGCGGGTAGTACAATTAAAAAAGAAATAAGACAATTTCAATTCACTGCATGGCCTGATCACGGAGTACCCGATCATCCCGCTCCATTTTTACAATTTTTAAGAAGAGTCAGAAACATGAATTCTCCAGATTCAGGTCCAATGGTTGTTCACTGCAGGTGAGTAATTTTTCATTCACTTTTAAATTTGATTCATTTGTTTAATGCTGCTAAAAATTCAATTTATTTATTTTTTCGAAAAAAAAAGTGCTGGAGTCGGACGTACCGGTTGTTTTATTGTAATTGATTCCATGTTGGAAAGAATCCGACACGAAAAGACAATCGACATATACGGTCACGTGACTTGTTTACGCGCCCAACGTAATTACATGGTTCAAACGGAGGATCAGTATATATTTATACACGATGCACTCCTCGAAGCCGTCGTTTGTGGTAACACCGAAATTCTAGCTAGGAATTTACACGCTCACATACAAAAATTAATGCAGACTGAGCTTGGAGACAATATAACGGGAATGGAAATCGAATTTAAAGTATTATTTTCACTCTTTCTTTTGTTTTTTGTTTTTCCGACGGTAAAAAAATTTTCTTTTTTTTTTTTTTATAGAAATTAAATAACATTAAATTGGACGGAACGAGATTTATAAGCGCTAATCTTCCTGTAAATAAACATAAAAACAGACTGGTTCATATCTTGCCGTTGGAAGGAACGCGAGTTTGCTTGCAACCCATAAAAGGAATCGAGGGTAGCGATTACATAAACGCATCGTTCGTGGACGGTTACAGGTATCGTGCGGCTTACATAGCCACGCAAGGACCTCTTCCGGACACAACGGAAGATCTCTGGAGAATGCTTTGGGAGCACAATTCAACAATAATTGTTATGCTCACTAAATTGAAAGAAATGGGACGAGTACGTGAACGACATTTATAAAATCTCCCTTTTTTTTTCAATCACAAAATCAGCGTTATTATTATTATTATTATTGATTTGTAATAGGAAAAATGTCATCAGTATTGGCCGAGCGACAGATCCGTTCGTTTTGGATTTTTCGTCGTCGATCCCATTGCCGAGTATAACATGCCGCAGTACATATTAAGAGAATTTAAAGTGACGGATGCTAGAAACGGTGCTTCCAGAACGTTAAGACAATTTCAATTTACGGATTGGCCCGAACAAGGGGTACCAAAAAGCGGAGAAGGTTTTATTGATTTCATCGGTCAAGTACATAAGACGAAAGAACAATTTGGACAAGATGGTCCCATAACAGTTCATTGCAGGTGAATGCTTTTCCCCCTCCTCCTCCTTCTCTTCTTCTTGTTGTTGATAAGATAATAATAATAATAATAATGATGATGTAATTTTTCGCAGTGCTGGAGTCGGAAGAACAGGCGTCTTTATAACTCTTAGTATAGTTTTAGAATGCATGCAATACGAAGGAGTCGTTGACATATTTCAAACAGTGCGAATATTGAGGACGCAGAGACCTGCCATGGTACAAACGGAGGTACGATATTATCATTATCATTAAATTTATTTTCGGTATTCAAGGTGAATGTACTTGTCACGTTCGAATTTAATTATTAACGTTTAAATAAAAAAAAAAAAAACACGAAGTGAAAAAATTGACGGTTTCCGTCGGGATTTTCAAATTTACTATAAAAACCTGAAATTTTAATTTTCGATTTTTTATCTCTCTCTCTCTCTCTCTCTCTCTCTCTCTTTGTAAATAAATTATGTGGGAATTTTTTTTTTTTTCATTTTAGGATCATTATCAATTTTGCTACAGGGCAGCTTTGGAATATCTCGGATCTTTCGATCATTATGCCAATTAGGTACGGTTGCCGTAAATACTACGTATACTCATTCATTTTACTCAAAAAATGCTGCCGAATAGAAAAATTTTTTAAATTGTTTATAAAATAAATAAATGACACATTTCATCATTGAAACGATTGATTATGACGTAATATTATGACGTATGATGATGACGTTGATGATGACGTTTGATTATGATGACGATTTTGATGACGACGATGTACTTATATATAATAAATGCGGCACACGATCGATTGATTAATCGATCGATCGATCGATTCATTAATTGATTGATTGAAAATTGTAATCATTATATCATTTGTAGTTATATTTTGTGTAAGTGCTTATATATATAAATATATATATAAATATTAGATTAGATAAATGATCGAGAAAGAAAGAAAGTATCACGTTTTGTGTCAGTTTTTTTTTTTTTTTTTTTTTTTTTTAATAAAATGTAGGCAAATTTAATTATTTAACTCATTTACAAGTTGTGAAAAAAAAAAAAATGGCATCTATTTAGTTTTTATAGATTTTAAAAAGTAAAAAAAAAATGAGACTAAATGTTTTTCTTTTTTTTTTTGCCGATATTATTAATGTTATTATTATTATTAATAATTTAATTGACTTAACTAAGAGAAAAAAAAAATGAAATTTAGAAGGAAAAACTTATTATTATTATTATTATTTATTATTTTCTCGTCTATTTTTCACGCCTAATGCTCAATAAGACTTATTAACGATAATCGCAAATTATTCAATTATTTAATTAAATAAATAAAAAATTTTATTATATGTACTACCAATAAGTATTTAATAACTTATTCTATCTTATTTTTTTTCTATTTTTTTTTTTTTTATTTGTATGTTACCTAATGCCACCGTAAATGTACATACATACATAGAATTATTTGATATCGATAAGAAAAACGTTAATTTATTATTATTATTATTTTTATTTACATTTCTTTATGATTTTTTCTATACAATTTTTTTTTATTTTTAAAAATTTATTATCATTATTATTTTTTATTATGATTCTTTTGCTTTTTATTCTTCTACTTTTAAATTAAATACTCATCATTTTGCTTGTTTAAAAGAGAAAAAAAAGTTTTTTTTTTAGTTTTACATATATATATATATAAATATATTCTGAAGCATAATAATAATAATAAGAATAATTTAACATGAAATTAAATGTTAAAAATAAATAAATAAATAAATAGCAAATGAAGAAGACTTGTATTTATTAATTTATTAATTATATTAGATAATTAAAATGAAATTGTAAACTGTCAATAAAGCAAACTTTTTCAGTAAAAGTCTTTTTTTTTTTTTTTTTTTTACCTTTTATGCAATAAATATTATTATTATTATTTAATAAATAAGAAGATTTAATGAGTTTTGTTGTTATCGAAAAGAATTAATGACCGTTAAATTTAAAAATGGCGGACAAAATTTAAATTTGAACGAGGGAAAAAGTTTTTTGTTAAAAATATTTAAGTTGGCAATAATGTTATGCAGTAGTAAAATGCGTTTAACTTACTTAAAGAACACAATGGACTGATTCATTCCAGTCGTTTTTTAATCGTTGTATGTATATATTTTAAATCATGATTGTTATATTTAATGTTATATAAAAAAAAATTTTTTAACAAATAATTTTTTTTTTTTTTATGGGTACATTTACAACCGGTCGATTTCGTTATAATAAATAAATATTTTAATTAAGTGTCAAAACTTTTTTTTAAAGTTACTTAAAATTTTTTGTAATTGTTTTTTTTTTTTGTTAAATTATTATATATATTTAATTTTTATTGGGAATGACGGTTACTTATACTGGAGAAGTAGCTACTGTTAGAGGTTTTGGATGTTTTTTAAAATTATTATTCAGGTAAATAATCATTGTTAAAAAATCATTTAAAATCATCTTTTTATCATTATTATTATTATATTATATCTAACCCATTATAGAGTCGCTTTACTTGATCGGGGAAGTTGAACATTTTTGTTTTAAAATTTTCTTTTTTTTTTTTTTTTTTGTATAAAGTGTACAAAATTTAAAATTTTGTTTCGAGAAATATCAAATGTAACAAAAAAATTTCTTTTTTTTATTCGATATTGAATTTATCATTTGAAACTTTTTTTTTTTTTTGTACTGAATAGTATACAAATTTGCACATATTAAACTTTTCGATTATCTCAGATTAAATAAGACAAAATTTTTTTTTTTTTTACTAATAAAAAATCTGTTTGAACCTTTTAGACCCAGTTAACAGATCTTTCATATCATCGAACATAATTATGGATGAGGAATGCATTAAAAAAAAAAAAAAAAAAAAAAACTCTTAAAAGAGGTATCCAAACATTTTATTTTATTTTATTTTATTTTTTTTTCTTATTAATGTGTGTTTAATTATATAAAACCAAGTAATTATTAGTTAGCTAGTAATAGAATTTACATTTATGTAGTTGTCGTTTGCAAAAAAAAAAAGAAAAATATCATCACCACCTAATCGATTTTTTTAATTTTTTTTTATTTTCATAATTACTCGAATAATATTTTTTTTGTTTTTTGCCCCTTCCCCTTACCCCCTCCCCTTAATTTATTAAATTTCCAACTAAAAATAAATTTTTTTTTAATGAATCCATTGTTTTTTTTTTTTACAAAAATTCCAAGGTAATCCTTAATTTAATTTGTATTAAGGTTTCGAGAGTAATTTAATTAAGTAATTTTTTTTTTTTTCGATATTAATAAAATTGATGTTTCGATATGATGATGATGATGATGATGATTTTCTATGAATTTTGAATTATTTAGTCATTGTTTTAGTTTTTCAAATTTTAATCATTCATTAAAACATTTACAAAGTTTGAATTTTAATTTTGAAAAACAAAACATCAGTTTTTCCTATTATTTTGTATGTTACAAAAAAAAAATTAAAATTTTCCTCACCGATTTATATTTTTTCATTTGCAAAATAAATTTCCATTGTTAAAACACATGTGGGGGGCCCTAAATTGAGTTTTTTATTTATTTATTTATTTATTTTTTAATATTATGACCTTGTAACTTATTTAGACATATTTAAAAATCAAATTTAAATAAAAAAAATAATTTTTGCTGATGTGTACAAAAAAAAAAAAAAAAAAAATTTTCTTAAAAAAAAAAAAAAAGTTAAATTCCCTTGTTTTATTATTATTATTATTATTATTATGCACATAAAAGTAAATAATAATTAGTCACGATTTTTTCGCGTTATCAAAAAACTGTCTTAAATTTTTTTTTTTTTTTTTTTTCCCACTTTATTTGATTGTGATTAATAAATTAAACGAAAAAAAAAAAAATTTTTTTTTTTTTTATATTTTTTCTAAAAGCTTTTCTTCTTCTTCTTTATCTTCATCTTCTTTTCCTTCTTCTTCTTATTCTTAAATAAAAATAAGAAAATAAATTGCACACAATATAAAAATTTCAAGATAAATAAAAAAAAAAAGAAAAAAGAAAAATCACTTTTTTTAATAGAAAAATGAATGGAAATTTTGCCTCTTATTTATTTTTTATCTCTCTCTCTCTCTCTCTCTCTCTCTCTTCATCTCTCACCGTTCTCTTCTTAAATGATGATGAAATTGATACTTAAATCAATAAATATGTATATAAAAAAATTTGTCGTTGGGAATGAATGAATATTGTTTTTCCCCCACAAAATGATAAGGAAAAAAGAAAATTTTCACGTTCCAGTAAATGATAATAAAATATAATAATATTTAATCCCTAAACCTGGACAATAAATCTTTTTTTTTTTATTTCCAAAATTATTATTATTATTATTATTATTTTGTATCTGAATGTCATCATACATACCCCGGGGGTGTTTGTTTTGTGGGCTGAGTAAACATTTTTAAGCGAAATATTATTATTATTATTATTACTGTTTTTTCGTCGTCATACGAAAAAGAGTTTAAATGTCAATTAATTAATTTTACGACGCATTCATTCAATCATTCATTCATTCATTCATTCATTCATTCATTTTTTAAAGGTTTTCAGGTGAATTTTACGGTGAGTAGTTACGATTGTATTAAAATAATTTTTTTTGGTTTTTTTGGTTTTTTTCTGCTTTTTTCCGTCCAGATTTTTTTCTTATTTATGTGAAAATTATTATTATTATTATTATTATTATTATTATTATTATTATTTGTTTTTGTTTTTGCAGGTGGAAGGGAAGCATATACAAACTCGTTTGGCCTGATTTATTTTTATTTCTAGCACTTTATTATGTATTAAATATAACATACAGGGTTGGACTCAAAGATGAACAGAAAAGGTAAATGCGACAACAACAACCTTTGACCTTTGTTCGAAAAAGAATTTTTTGGTGGATTGTGTGTGCGTGTGTAACGATTTAGAAATTTTTTTACAGGATATTCGAAAGCGTGGCCGAATATTGCGAAACATATAGTAATCTCATACCTTTGTCTTTCGTTTTGGGATTTTACGTTTCCATTGTTATGACGAGATGGTGGGATCAATACAATCACATACCTTGGCCGGATCCTATTGCCGTTTACGTCTCGGCACACATACACGGGCAAGTAAGTGGAAAAATGAAAAATGAAAAATTTTTATCCCCTCGTAAAAGAAGAAGAAAAATGAAAAGAAAATGACGACCGCAGTGATTTGTTAAAATGAATAAGAGAAAGAAGAGTAAATTGACTTTGAGGGATCAAAGGAATAATAATAATAATAATAATAAAAATTAGGGATCATTTTTCCGACTTGAGGAAAATTTTTTTTTTTTTTTTTATTATTACAGGATGAACGGGGGCGGTTAATGCGTAGAACCATAATGCGTTATTGTTGTTTATGTTTGACCATGGTTTTTACAATGATAAGTCCAAGAGTTAAAAAAAGATTTCCAACATCGAATCATTTCGTAGAAGCTGGTGAGTTTCCTCCCCCTCCTCCTCCTCCTCTCCTCCTCCCCCACTTAAAGAAAACTCTCGTGTTTTTCTTTTATATCCACATGTGTATTTTTTTCAATTACAGGTCTTCTTCTCGAAAATGAAAAATTAATCATTTCGGATTTGGATGAAAAATTTCCCGGACATCCGAAACATTGGCTCCCCATCGTTTGGGCAGCATCCATCGTGACTAGAGCGAGAAAGGAAGGAAGGATAAGAGACGATTTTGCAGTGAAAACAATCATTGACGAATTGAACAAATATCGTGGAAGCTGCGGTCAGCTTTTAAATTACGATTCTATTAGCGTGCCTTTGGTTTACACTCAGGTGAGATCATTGGGAAAAAAAAGGTGATAATTGATGGCTCAAAATAGAGAGAGAGAGAGAGAGTCTCAAACGTTGAGCACGGGGAAAATAGAAAAAACAAACGTCGCCATGCGAAATTGCGAGATTATTCGTTTGTTGTTGTTTGTTTTTCGACTACCAATCAGAAAAACTCACCAAGGTCTCGCTCACATAATTTTTTTTTTAAACTTAATTTTTAATTACGGATTTAAGTCGATAGTATTAATATTTATATAAAAAATTTTCCTTTTATTTGTTTTACGTGTCTTCTGCTTTCGATGCGGCTATTGTTGTTCTGGTTGTTGTCATTTATATCACGATTTACTTGCATAACCTTGATACGATTCGTATAAATTAATATATATATATATATATTTAACATTAAGTGATTTTTTTTTTTTGTCAAGGTGGTAACATTGGCGGTTTATTCGTTTTTCGGAACTTGCATTATGGGAAGGCAGTGGATCGACAAACCGTCATCCGACGGTACCGTATCCGCAAGATATAGAATCGATTTGTATTTTCCAATTTTCACGATGCTCCAGGTAAATTTGATTTTATTATTTATTGTCGTTCGAATCGTTTGGAAAATTCGTTAAAATCATCGCGTGGGTGGGGGGGGGTAGTTTTTTTTTTACATGGGTTGGTTAAAAGTGGCCGAATCATTGATCAATCCTTTCGGCGAAGACGACGACGATTTCGAAGTGAATTGGTTGGTCGATAGAAATCTACAAGTTTCTTATTTGATTGTGGACGAAATGCATCACGAACATCCGGAATTGATAAAGGATCAATATTGGGAAGAAGTTTTCCCGACGGAATTACCTTACACCGTGAGGAAAAATTTATTTATTTATTTCGGATTGCGAACGATTCATTTTTTTAAATCGATTAATCGAATTTCAGATAGCTTCGGAACAATTCAGGGAAAAACATCCACTTCCGTCAACGGCCAACATCGAGATATCGAAACACGCGGCAGAAATTGCTGTGGGTTCTTCGTACAAGGACGATTTAGAAAATCAAATCGTGAGTGTTTTTACTTATTATTATTATTATTATTATTATCATTATTATTATTATTATTATTATTATTTTTGCCAAACGGATAATAATCATGATTAATTTAAAAAAAAAACAGTTTGATGATAATACGAGCGGTATACATTTTTCGCGGGTCCCAAAAGGTCAAATTCTCGTATAAGTCACAGGGAGAGGACAATGTCTGGAAGTTCATCATCCAGCGTTCTAACTAATTTTAGCTCTGTTGCCAATTCTATTTCACGGTAAATTAAAATTCTTTCATTTTATTTATTTATTTATTTTTTTTATAAATTGGAAATTTTAATTTTTTTTATTGATATGTCAGAGCGGTTTCGGTGACAAACATGTTAAAATCGATTTTCACGAGAGAAAATTCTAATCCGGGAAATTGCGAAAAAGGTACTAATCAGTCGCAGGGAGTCGGTATGGGTTCGAGTTTTGGAAGGCTTAATCAAAGTCAAAGCACGGCGAGTTTGAATAGAAATTCCGGTGTTGCCGGAGGTACGGTTAAAATAACGGATCAAGTTATAGAAGAGGTAGATGAACAACTCACGGTCACTTCCATACCTCCAAGGCCGTCGACGGAAAGAGTTCACGTTAAAAATATATTTCCGGAATCGAAAAATTGTCATTCGTCTTCCGATCCCGTCGAAGTACCTTTGGTATCATTTGACAATAACGAAAGACCGGTTAACATTTCCACATCAGCTCCAACTCATCCATTTTCCGACGCTTGGGAAACTCTGACGTCGACGGGAGGTAAATCCGATAATCTCGTGATTGCCAATCACACGGTGAGAAAAATTTTCCGACGTTCATCCTACGAAACGGAAACAAATTTTATAGAATTTTTTTTTTTTATACAGAAACCGGAAGAACTCGAGAGGTTGTCGTTGGATTCGATAAACGACGTTGACAGAGTCAACGAGTATACTCTACTCAAAGAAAAAAGGGAAAAGGAAAAAAAAGAATGGTCGGCATTGCAATGGCAACATCCGGAAAAAAAGAGTAACGTATAAATAAATAAAAAAAAAAAAAACAAAATGAGGAGACTTTCTGTGATAAAAAAAAAAAAGTTTCTGCTGCCTTGACGTGGATTTGTTACGCGCGTTCGCCCCGCCCCGCCTCCCGGGTGGGGAGGGAGGGGTGTATTAATTTAAATTAGGTAAATTAATTTTAGTTACTTAATTAATTTTTTTTTTTTTATTAATCATTAATTTTAAATCGGTCTACCCGTCGAAAAGACAAGAAAGTAGTAGTAATAATAATAATAATAATAGTAGCAGAAGAAAAAGAAGGAAATTAATCCTGCCGAATAAAATAAAATAAAAAAAAAGACGAAAATAATGATAATAATAATAAAATTTGTAAATATTTTTTATTGATACTTATTTTAAATTAATCATAGATTTATTAAGAAAAAAATAATAGTAATAATAATAATAATAATGATAGTGATAACGATACTAATAATAATGATGATGACGATGCTATTGTTTTTATTTACATAACGTTTTTTATTCTCTTTAAACTTTTGACGTTTCTCTTTCTCTCTCTCTCTCTTTAACGCGTTTCGTGCGGGTTTTCACGAGCGTTTTTCTCCCCTCCCCTCCCCCCTTTCTTCTCCGTCCTTTTCCCGCCCCCCGAAAAAAAAATTGTTTTTCTCGATTTTCACCGAATCCGATTTATTATAATGAGACGAATGATGAGTCATCATTTAAAAAAATTTAACGAAATATTTTATTTATTTATTTATTAATTATTGTTATTAAAATACATTATTTATGTATTATGTATTTATTAACCTTATGATCGAATTCGTTTTTAAAAAAATTATTATCTTGCCCTCAATCAATGAATTTCACTCACACGATTATTTCGCTTAAATTATTACTATTATTATTATTATTATTGCTAATCGCTTTTTTTTTGTTACAAAATACTTAATGAAATGAATATTTTAAAAAGAAAAAAAAGGTGCCTTAATTATTATTATTATTATTTAAAAAAAAGGCTGTCACAAAAAAAAAAAAAAAAAAAAAGTTTTTTATTCGTATTTATTATTATTATTATTTTTGCTATTAATTACGTATTGACGTCCGCGTGCTCGCAAAAAAATACGTCACAAGCTTTTGCGTGACGCTAATAAGTTTTATACATAAAATTTTATTTATTTACGTGTCGATAAGAGAAAAAAAAAATTATATACATAAATGTATGTTTAAATTAAAAACGAATGAATGCTTTTATTTTTTAATAGAGAATTATTTATAATAATAATAATAATGATGAAAAAAATCAATCGATCAATCAATGAATCAATGAATCAATGAAATTGCATTTATATTATTATTATTATTATTATATATTTTATATATGATGTATATTTATTAACAAATGAAATGAAATCAGTATTATTATTGTCTTTGTAAATTATTATTATTATTAATTTTTAATAAATAAATAAATAAATAATTATAAAATCGGTTCGAGTTGTTTTACATTTAATTGTTTTATTATTATTATTATTATTTATTACTACGACGACTCCATAAGTTTAATAAATAGAAAATGAAATAAATAAATAAATTTTTAATAATAACTACATAAAATATTTATTTAACTCGATAAATATAAATATATTATAAATAGTATAAAAAGCATTCACAACTTAACGTTTTCGTTAAAATAATATTAATAATAATATTAATAATAATAATAATAATAATAATAAATTAATTTAATGTTCACAATTTTAAATCGTTAATTGTTTTTAATATTCTGTCGACATCTGTTTTCAAATCAGAATTTTCGTTAAGTAATAATCCAGATGAGAATAATTCGATTAATTTTTTTTCTTGATTTTCATCTTTGACAAGCGTTTTCATTGTATTGATTATTTCAGATATCTAGGGACAAAAAAAGAAAAAAGTTTGTCATGAAAAAAATGTTTGATGGAATGTAAAATTTGTGTTATCGATTCATACTTTATTTTTAATTTCGTTGCATTCCGGATTACAATATTTTTGTAAAAGCCATAATTTTGTTTCTGCTAATTGTAATGGTGTGTGACCGTTACGACCTTTTTGAAAAGCTGAACAACCAGCGTTTAATAATAAATTAATTGTGGCAGTTGAAGTTGTACAAACGGCAAGATGTAATGGTGTGTTTCCCAATTTGTCAACAACATTACAATCAGCTTTATACGATAAAAGAATTTTTACTATGTCTGAATACCCACTGGCAGAAGCTAAATGTAAAGCAGTACGCCCATTTTTATCACAAGCGTTTGGATTAACTCCATATTCTAATAAATATTTTAATTTATTACAATCGTTTTTTGATGCTGCACATCTTAAACGTTCTTCATCTTGAAAAAAAAAGGAATTATCAATTTTGGGAAATGATTTTTTGAATATGTGTACTTTGAAATATTTATTTGTTTACATTTGTGATTACCTTTTTTTTTAAAAAATGAAGCTTGGTAACGAAATCTAACACAATATTTATCTCTTCCCCTTTTTATTGACATTTTAAAAAAAATCTAATTTATAATAAATTATTAGTTTACATTTATTTATTTAAATATAATTCTAAAAATTATAAACAATCCTCCCATTATTGATTATTATTATTATTATTTTTATTTACTCTATGAAAGCAGAAGACAATTATTTAACGCTAATGTTGTTTGGATATTTTTAAGTTGATTAAAATGATATAAAATCATTATTATTATTTATTAAGTTATGATTTTAATTAAATAAAATCAATTACATTTTAAATAGTGAATAATTTTCATTTTTTTTTTTCAAGTGTAATTTACGTCGGGTCTTTTTTTTGCATCTTCAGTTTCAAATAATTAAAAGGAAAATAACCTAAAAATGAATTATCTTAAAAATATTAATTTTAAAAATGTATTCATGAATACATTTTCTAAAACTTTATTAAATAAAAAATCATTTTTACCAATGATTTGTAATAATAATTTGAAACAAAGTAAAGAGTTTTCTTGTTTATCGAATATAAAAAATACAGTTAATTTATCTTGTACAAATTTATCCATAGTTCCTTCATGTGGAATGAAAGTTAGAGGTATTTTAATAACTAAGTGCACATTTTTTAAAATTTTCTCTTTTAAATCTTATTTAAAATTATTCCTTTGTGAAAATTTTATTTAATGATTAATTTCATTCATTTTATATTACAGCTAAACTTGAAAGAAGATGCAAAAGTTGTTATTTTGCTAGAATCGATGGTAGAATGATGGTTTTGTGTGATAGTTACGGAAGACATAAACAAATGGCTTTAGTTAAAAAAGCAAAACATTATTGGATTTTATCACATTGTACTCAACATAAAATAAGACCTTATTAAAACTTATTTATATTTAGTGATTTATCAGAAAGGATAAATAGTAAAAATTATTAACAATTAATAAATAATAATTTTTTTATTCTCAATTTTTTATATTTTTTTTTTTTTATAAATCTAATTTTTTATCATAATTATATTATCAATATAATTATATTGATAATTATGAATTTAATGAAAATAATAATATTTTAAATTGTTTAAAATATTTATTAATTTTATTTAAATAAAAAATTAAGAAAAATGAAAAACGTTTCCATAATTAGCAACAGATGCCGTTAAAAAAAAAATCGTTGGACGAACAATTTAAGTTGGCAATCTTGTTTTATACGTGACATTTCGTCAAACGCATGCGTCATGGCATGTTTAAAATACAAAATAATAATAGTGTTTAATAATTATCGTAGATTTATTTCATAATTTGATTCCGACATTAATTAAAGTGATTATATATTATTATAAACGACATTTTGTTTTTTAGTGGTTTGTGTCAGTGATCACTTTTCATTTAAACAAACTTCAGTTGTGTTGTAATTTAATAAAAATATATCGTTATATATAAATGTATATATGTATATATATGTGTGTGTATTGATTACGTGTTGTATTATAATTGAATGAGTTTTCATTTTTTACGCAAACTAACACATAAATATAATAAATAGCCATGAAAAATTTACTTTGCAATGAGTTGGTTTGACGCTACAGGATTAGCAAACATTGCCAAAACTGCTTTAAAAGAAGCGCAAAAAACTATTGATAAGGCATTGGACATAAGAGATGAGGAGGAAATAACTGATAACGTTAAACCGAAGTTAAGTAACAAAGGTGAAAATTCTTTTGAAAAGAAAGAATCTAAAGATAAACAGGAAGTTATTAAATATAACGATAATGAAAAAAATGTTGAATCGTTAAAGGCAAATAAAATGCCAACAAGTAATTGGGGCTCTTTTTCTGGATCATTTTTTCAAATTGATAATTCGAAAAATTCAAATGATAAATCAGTTTTGATATCTACTCAGCCTCAAAAATTATCACTTTTGCTTTCCAATGAAAATGAAAAAGTTGCACCATTGGCAACGCCTGAAACTGAATTAACACCTGGTGATAAAAATAGTCAAAATGACAGTCCAAAAAATTTAATTTCTTTACCTTCCGAACTTCAAACAACATCAGGTTTGTAGTAAAAATTTTAGAAAACAAATTCTAATTTGTAACGATATAAATTTTTCTAAAAAAATTGTTACAAGTGATAAAAAAATAATTTTTATTTTCATAAATAGAATCATCAAGCAACATTTCGGTTGATGAAAAAATTGTTGCAAAACCTAGAGGAAGAAAAAATTCATCTAATAGAAATAGCTATGTGTCAAACAGGTTATCTGTACATTCTATTGAAAGCGATGGGAAAAAATCATCTGAAAGTGTAGAAGTTCTTAGCTCATTAAGCTGCACAACTTCTCCAGATACAGATTTACCATCAATTTCAGCAAGTAGTTCTTTAGGACTTCCAATAAGTTCTAGCTGCACAGATTCCGTAGAAGTAAGTCAGAAAAATATTTGCGATATTTAATACATTATTTAATTTAATCTCATTGATTGTTTAATCAAATCATTTACAATTTTATTATTAAAATTTTTTATGCTTTTGCATATCCTTTAAAAAGCTTTGTAATTTTTAATTGTAATTTAACACTCAAGGTAAAAATTACAATTGTTATTATTCAATGTGACAACTATAAAATTATTTGATGAATGAAGTGTTTGTCAAATCATTTTGTAAATTATTACTATTATTATTATCATTATTATTTCAAGGAAAACAACATTAATAATTGACAATAATTATTACAATTAAACTTTAAAATATTCGATTAAAAGTGAAGGTTAGAAATGTATTATTATAAATTTATTTTAGGTATTAAATAGGTATTCAAATATCAATTTGATAATAATTTATCGATATATATTGTTTTAATTTCTAATTTTTTAATTAATTAATTTTTATAATTTATTTTTAGGTTATTGATAGTCTAACGAGTCCTAGTTCAATTGAAGTTTTAGTAGAAGGTACTGGGAGTGGCAGGACCACTCAGTCATCATCTACGAATTCTCCTAAAGATGACAATTCGATTAATAATAATTTAAAAACGTTAAAAATAATTTCTAGTCCAACAAATAGTGCGAATGATATATCTCCTGAAAGTTTCGAAGTAAAATAACTTAATGAATGAATGAAAAGTAAAATTTTTTATTGAATATAAATTAATAATAATTATTATTGTATTACAGGTTATACCTGACCTACCTGAGTGCGATGATGAATTATCAAGAGCAGATAGTTATACGTCCGTATCCGAAAGCACTGGTCCAACCGTACTCGAACCTTCTTATCAATTTTCTTATCGTACCACGGAATCTTTCAATGACCTTTCGCAGGCTTCTTCGAAATTTCGATCGGGTGATTCGACACCGGACGTATTTAGTAAATTACCATTGACGACGAGGAATTCTTGCGATGTTTTATCAGAATCGAGTCACGAATTATTCGATTTATCGAAAGATTCGAATTTATCGAAAAATTCTGAATTGACGAAAAGCCTTATCATAGAATCCGGTAATTTATTTTTATAATTTATGTATAAAAAATTTTTCAGGATTAGAATTAATTATATTCTTTTTTATTAAATGAAATTTTTAGAAAAAATAAGACATAAAAATAAACCGTCGGATAAATTTTTCGATAACGTCGTGGAAAATTCAAATCGAAAATTGGAAAGTCCCGGGAAAAAATTACCACTTATTAACGCACCGAACGATACGGATTTCCTATTGAAATCCGACGATTTAAAAAATTCTAAAAACGATTTAATAAAAGGTGAGATTGTTAAAAATTATAATGTAAGAAAGGATTTAGAGGAAGGAGATTCGGGTCTGCAGGGAAGCGATATTATCGGGATTACGGATGAAATTTGCGGTTCCACATCGAGTTATAGTGATACGAGAACCATCGTACCTAACGAGAGTAGTTGCGATGAAATTAATTTAGATAGTAGCATGGAAGATGGAGAAAACGTTTCCGGTAAAAATATTTTTATTACTTATCATTATTATTATTATTATATTTTTGAATTAGTGGACGGGAAATCGACCAACCGACACGACATCAGAATCGATTATCGAGATATTTATTATTATTATTTTTTTTCCAGGTTCGAAATGCGAAACGATAAATTACAGGGCGGTGGAAAAATTAGAAAATGACGGAAATCAAAATAATTCTTTTTACGTGAAAAATTTACTTTCGGAAGCAATGAAAGAAATGTCGTCGACGACACGTGAAACATCTCCGACGTTATCAGAGAAAAGGTTAGGATATTATTTGTTTATCATTTTTCCAAATCGGAAAATTTATTGTTTTTTTTCTTCTATTTTCCCCCCAACAGTCGATCGGATTTGGTTAAAGTTGGTTCCGAACAAACGAGTGGGCAAACATCCGGAGACGAATTGGAAACGACGACATCGTCCGACATAGAAATTATTTCGAGATACAGGTTGGGATTTTGTTTTGTTTTTCGAAATGTTTTCGAAATTTAAAACGGTTTGTTTTTTTGTTTTTCTAGTCCGAACGGTGATAGCAGCAGCACAGCATCACGTCACAGTCCGGCAAAATTATTACATCATCATAATTCGAAATCGAAATTATCATTGGTGGCGGTCGATATTTTAGGAAAAGCAACTCATTCGAAAACGAAAGGTTTAAAATTAAAAATTTTTTTTTTTTTTAACGGAAATTTCATTAAGAAAATGGCCGAAGACAACGACAGAAAAATTTATAAAATTTTAAATTTAATTTTAGGACATCATAGAGAACCATCGGAAGGTTCAAGTTTTTGTTCAGAAGATAATTTTTTCGAAGTTGAAAAACTTTCAAAGGTAAATTAAGTGTAGGGGGTAGGGAAGGGAAGGGAGGGGAGGAGAGAAAATAATAATAATAATATTTCGGGGTTTTTAGAAAGTTTTAGAACTGACGGAAATATTGGAAGCTCGAGAATCTCGTCTCAACGATCTTAGAAGAACAAATTTAGAAATACAAGAAAAAAATAAAGAATTGAAAAAAGAAATGGAAGTGAGTCGTCGTTTAATTATTGCGATTGAGTTTTTTTTTTTGTTAACGTTCGGATTAAATTTTGAGTTTTTTTTTTTTTTTTTCTCTTTTATCAGCAAGCTAAAAAAGAAGTTTCGTTAGGTATGAATTCGTTACAATCGGAATCGGAAAAAGACGAGTTGATAAGAGAATTGAAAGAAGAAGGAGAGAAATTATCGAAAAAAGAACTCAAACAAGCGAATTTGATAAAAACGTTGAGAGCACACGAAAAATCACAACAATCTATTATAGATAGTAATAAGTACGTTAGAAATAATACAAAAAAGTTTTAGTATTATTATTATTATTATTATTATTAAAAATTTGTCTTTTTGTTTTTGTTTTTTTTTGAAGAATACAAATTCAAAATTTGATGAAAACGATCGAAGATCTCAAAATGGAATTATCAGCGAGAAAAGAATCGGAAAAATCACTCGGGGAAAAAGTTAAACAAATGAATAAAAAAATAACGAGACAAGATGAAGAAATAGGAAATTTATTAGGGCAAATGGAAAAAGCTGTCGTCAAAGGAGAAGAATATAAAATAACGCTCGAAGCAAAAGAAAAGTAAATTAAACATAAAATAAATTTTCCGATTTTAATTTCATTCAAGATTTTTTCCTTTAAACGTTTCGAATAAAATTTGTTTGTTTCACTCTCTCTCTTTTTTTTTCTCTCTCTCTCTCTCTTCAGCGAATTAATTAAATGTAAAGAATTATTAGCGACGGAAGATTATAAATTACAAAGTGCGAAATCTGCTGCGGATTACAAAACGAAAGAATTAGAAAGACTGACGTCATTTAAAGAAAATGCCGAAATTAAATTGGAAAATTTGAGCGAGCAATTGAAAAAAGCAGAAGAAATGCATTCCGAGTAAATATTAATATGTGGAAAAATTCGATTTAATTGGTTGTTTTAAATTGTTGAATGAATATTTTTTTTTTGCACGTGCAGACGCGAGAAACACTACAGGGAGGAGAAAAACGAACTCATGAGAAGGTTGCAGGAAGCGGAAGAAAGAAACGAAGAAGTTGCACAAAGCGTATCTAAAGCCACGAGACCCTTACTCAGGCAAATGGAAGCACTTCAGGCAACCATAACACACGAGAGGGAAACGTGGGAAAAACAGGAAAGGAATTTAATACAAAAATTAGGTCGGTACTTTTTCTCCCTCTCTCTCTCTCTCTCTTCCCTTGTAAAACAAAGAAAAGCGGAAACGGGTTTTTGTTTTTTTTTTTTTGATTTTTCAGAGGAAGCGGAAAGTCGTTTATCGTCCGTTACGTATCACGAGAAAAGTTTCAAACAGGAAACGATTGAACTCAAATCGAAATTGGATAATTTAGAAGAACGAATTCGAATATCCGACGGGGAATCCGCGAGATGGAAATATCAAGTCGAATCTCTGACGAAACAATTGGAAGATGTCAAAACCGAATACGAAAGGTATTTTTCATTTTTTTTTTTTTAAACGATAAAATCGGTGGGGAAAGTATAAAAGAAAATTTTTTTTTGGTTCCCAGGGGAAAATCGGTTTGGGAAAAGGAGGAGAAAATTTTAAAGTTGGAAATAAACAATTTGAGAGGAATTTTGAGGGACGTCGAACAGCAGTTGGCGAATGAAAAATCAAACGCGGATTCGGAAAGGAAAAAAGTGACGCTTTTACAAGAACAATTGAAAGAAAAAGATTCGAATTTTGTCAACAAAGATTCGAACAGTCCATCGAGATCATCGCCGACGTTGAGTTTCGGTAGAGCTTCCCTATCCGAAAGCGTTACCAGTAATATTTGGCCTCAAGTAATTTTAATTTTATTTTAGAAATTTTCCGAATAAAAGAAGTGGTCAAATATTTTAAATAATTTTGAAAATTTTTTTTTTTTTTATATGTAAGTTTGTCGAAGATGGTTTCGAAACTAGTTCCGTTTCCGGTAAATATTCGACGACAGTTTACGATAATTTAAGATGTGGAAATACGACGTCACTCATTGAAAATCTTCAAGCGCAACTCAAAATGAGAGACGGTGAGTTTGATAATTAAAAATTTTCCCCTTTTTCATCGTGACGTCACAGTTTGAACAAATTTTTTAATTTAATTTTCTTTTTTTGGGAAAACAGGTGAAATTGCACAAATGACGTGGGAATCGCAAAGGAGAGACGCGGAAAGATGTGCTCTCACGGCGGAAATATCAACGCTCACGTCGAAATTAGAAGAACAAGAAATGAAAATCGTCCAAATGGAAGAAATGAAAAAAGATTTGAGCGAACTTCAAACGAAATACGATGCACTCCTGGAAATGTACGGGGAAAAAGTCGAAGAAGTCGAAGAATTGAGGTTGGATTTACAGGACGTCAAAGAAATGTACAAAACACAAGTGAGAGACGTGGCCACAAAAAAAATTTTTTCCTTTCGTTTTCGAACAAAAACAAACAAACAAAACAAACAAAACAAAAATTTTTGTTTATTGTTTTCAGATCGATCAGCTGTTGAAAAAAGAAAATGAAGAATTTTCCGTTTGATTAAACCCAATTGTTTCCGTCGGGATTTTCTTTTCAAATAAAATTCGCCGCGTTTAATTAAAAAAAAAAAAAAAAGTTGTTGAAAAAATCGCATTAATCAAAGTTAATAATAATTTATATAAAGCATTCGTTTATTATTATCATTATTATTATTATTATTATTTTTTTTTTTTTTAAATAAATTAAAAATAAAAAAGTAAATAAAAATTAAAATTTAAAAGTTTTTTTGTTTATTTCGCGTTAAAATTTTTTTTTTTTTCGAAAATTTCTTTTGTGGTGATAGTGATGATGATTATATTTGTGTAAATGGTTCCCGTGGGATGAGGAGGAGGAGGATGATGAAAACGGGTGTTGGGAAAAACCCGAATCAAAGGGGAGGAGAAAAATTTGTCGTCATTCAATGTGAGTATTAATAATAATTTATTTATTTATTTTTTATTATTATTATCATTCTTTTTTTTAAATAATTTGTTTTTATTGAAAAAATATTTATTTTAATATGTAATGTGGTTATTATTATTATTATTATTATTATTATTATTATTATTAATTTTACGATAAGTTAATTATTTATTTATTTATTTATTTAAACGGAATCGGGGGTGGGATCCCACGTTAACATTTGAAGACTCGTACTTTTTGACAATTCTTTTTTCATTCCGCCATATTGCGATCGTTTTTTACGTTTGTTTATGGATTTTGTATATATTTTCAATACTTGACAGTTGCAAGTGACGCAAAGGGATATTATTATCCCTTGTAATCCTTGTAATATGTTAAATGATATCCAGAAAATGTCTTTTTTAGTTAATTTATACGCGAGAGAAAGGAAAAAAACCGATGATATTATAAATGTTAATTTCATGTATAGAAACAATTGTAAATTTCTTTTCTTTTTCATTTTTTCTCTCGTTTTTTTATCAACCTGTAATTAAATGAAAATAATAATAATACTAATAATAATATCGATTAACATGTCATCGTAACAGATTTTTGTTTTGTACCTGAAGACTCGTTGTTTGCCTTATAACAATTGCCGTCCTTATAAACGATACTATTATCATTAATAATAAAATGATTACGGGTAAGGCATAACCGTAAATGAATGGTTTACGACTTAAAAACCAACAATTTGTCCTTTTGAAATCCGTTACGTTTAAAATGAGCGTATAATCAAATTCAGATGATTGTAAAAATATGGATATGCATAGTAGAATCCCTGGGGAACACCAACCGATCAAACTGAATTTCCAAAATGATGTTTTTATTGACGTGTCGACGTGTGGTAAAAGATTTGCATTGTTTTTAAATGTTCTGAAATGAAGAAAAATAAATTTTCTCTATGAGTCTCGACGTCTCGACTCGATAACGGATTCCAGAATGATAAAAAAGTTATCCAGAATGATAATCGAAAAAGAAAAAAAAAGGTATACTTGCATGTACATGTGATGAGACATGAGCAACATCCAACAAAAAACCGTTAATCTCATGTATTGTAATGAAAATGCTAAACCGACGCATAATTCCGGATCCTGGAAATCGTAATAATAATGATGATTATTTTATTAACGAATGGAAAGTTTTACTTTTTGGAAAAGACTTACTTGAACTTCGCCGACGCCGACGACGTATAAAAGTTGTGTCATGAAAAGCACGGCTAAAAAATTCATTAATGCCGTACCGCTTAAATTTCTCAAATCTGAAAACAAACTGGAAAAAAAATGATAATGATAATAATGATAATGAATTACGATTTGTAAACGAAAACTCAGGGTATGCTGGAGCCTGGAGAAAAAAGTCAAAGAAAAAATTTCGGTTAAAATAATAATTACGATAAACGTTTACCTATTCCAACAATCCGGATTTAACCACCTCGTTTGACAAAACAAACAAACAAAACGACAAAAAAAGAAAAAACAAACGACAAACGGCAGATTTATTTAAATAATACAAACAACCAATTAATAATCGATGACGTCATGAAAACAAACAGATGAAAAACAAAACAATCGCTATTAATTTTTAAAGTTTTTAGTTAAATTTATTTAAATTTCAATCAGTCAGTCAGTCAGTCAATCATTCATTCATTCATTCATTCGTTCGTTTGTTTTATGTAAGAGAAATAAATAAAATGAACAAACAAGGCAACAACACGGATTAAATTTATTTATTTAATTTTTTTAATAAAGTTTACCACCCGCAAAAGTAGAAAATCAGACGTCGTGAAAATTGGGCAAAAAGGCACAAAAAGAGAGAAAGAAAGAGAGAGGAAGAGAGAGAGATAGAAATAACAAACTCGGTTGTTTTGGGAAAAGGTTTTTCTTTCTTTTTTTTTTTTTGTAAATCATAAAAATATTATTCATTTCATTTTATTCTCACAGAGAGAGAAAAAGAGAAAGAGAGAGAGAGAGAGAGAACAAGGGAGATTTGTTAACTTAATTGAGATTTAAACGATGGAAACGAAATTTTTTTTCTCCAGTTTTCTCCAGTCGTCGTCGTCATCGTGATATCAGTTTGTAAAAAATATATATTCTACTGGAATTTAAAAATATATATTTAAATTAAATCGTTGGAAAGAGCAAAAAAGTTTAACGGATGAGAGAGAGATGAAAAGATAAAAAAATCTGGAGAGAGAGGAGGGGAGACAGGGGAGAGGGGAGAGGAGAGGGGGAAAAGCAGATGGATGGATAAAAAATTTCGTCTGTCGGTTGTTTAGTTACCTGAGATGCTCTAAAAAGGTTTAATTCCCGTTCGTGTAATTTGTTTATCTCTTTTTTTTTTTTTTCTTTCTCGACGAGAGAAAATTCCCGTTGAGCTTTTCAATTTTCCCTTTAAATCCAATCGATATTATTATTATTATTATTATTAATATCGCGGCGAAGTATTTTTGTGTACGGGTATGGGAAGAAAAAAAAAAAAATACGAGCGTTCTCGTATTTGTCTTATTATGCGGTATTTAATAATAAATAAAAATGGCGGCGGTTAAAAAATAAAAAAAAAAATTTTTTTTTCTCGCAAAATCACGTGACTTTTACTTCCGCCCCTCCTCCCTCTTTGCTCCGCCTACTTCCGACTCTTCAAGTCATTAAAAAAAAAGAAAGAAAAAGTTATAATAATTTTTTAATTTTCCACGTGAATAAACACGAAAAATAAAAAAAAAATGTTTTTTTCTTCATTAAAACCCGGGGAGGAGGGGGAGAGGGGGGAGAGGAAAACGAAATTCCGGTAATTCCAAAGGTCAAAGTTAAAATTTATTATCCGAAATAAAATATTCCAAACGATGATGATGATGATGATGAGGTTCCGGTTCAAAAAAAAAATTTTTGTTTTTTTTTAAGCTTTAGAAAGTTCTCAACCGATTCGGTTCGGGGAAAATGTTTTAAAACTTTTTCCCGAATTCAAATTTAAAAAATTCGAACGCAACGAACGGAAACGGAAAAAAAAACGGAGTGGGGGGGGGGAAAGGGAAAAATGTCGCGGATGTGAAATGACGTCATAGCCGTGAGTAAATTTTTTACTCGCATAAAAAATAAAAAAGGAAAAAGAGGAAAATCTTTTTTTTTTTTTTTTTTTTTTATAAAATCAAAATCAAAACCTTAATTAATCAATTTAAATTTTATTATTATTATTAAAAAAAGGTTTTTCCAATTTAAAAAAAAAAGGAAAGGAAAGGATAGGAAAGGGAAAAATGAAAAAAAACCTTTTTTTTTTTTTAACTTTTTCTTCATTTTGACCCTTAATATCAAAAACCTTTTAAAATCATTTTTTTTTTTTTTTTTATTTCTTTAATAAAAAAAAAAAAAAAGATTTTACGTGAAATTTACGTAATAATTATGACGTAAGAGACCGATTTTATTAATATTTTTTTCACATCAATCGAAAAAAAAAAATTTTTTTTTTTTTTATATTTATCCTGCGTACCTGTTGTTGTCATTCGGAAATGAGATATCATTTTTAAATAATCAAAAATTTTTTTTTTTAGGAAAAGTTTGCGAAAAGAAAAATCAAATAAACGAAAATTTCGTTTTGTTTTTTTTTTTTTTTTTTTTTTTTATAAAACGTTCCAAACGACCGTTAAATTTAAAAATTATAACGATCGACTCAATTTGAAATTTGAGATTACGAACAGGAAATATATGATGGTTAATTTTTTGTATTCTCCTCGTCAACGGCCATACCATGCTGAACACACCGGTTCTCGTCCGATCACCGAAGTTAAGCAGCATCGGGCGTGGTTAGTACTTGGATGGGTGACCGCTTGGGAACACCACATGCCGTTGGCTCTCCCACAATTTTTTTTT